TCTGACTGATTCAAATTAGACAGTTGAATGAGTAAGTGTGTTTTTGCCTGATTGGTTTGTGTCAATCTATTGTTGTATATCTATCCTTAAATATTTAGTAGACGTACATTGTACAGAAAGGTAATTGATAATACCCAGACCCCCAGATGTAGGTGGGTGGGGATTCGAACCCAAGGACGTATTGGCTGAAGGTCGAGTACTTCAGTTAACGAGTCACATCTCCACAAAAATCAAAAATACCCCTTACTAATTTGATTTTAAGACGATAGGAAGTGGCATTATCGACTATTCAGAAGGAATGAATTCCTATTACCATACATCATGAATTAGGATTCCAGTAAGATGACTGATTACCATTTGGATTTTTATTTTATTTTGATTACAGCTTGATGCCACACTGTATTTTCAGTACAAGTGTGGAATTTTCAGCATGGATATCGGTAGCCCAAATTTTGCAGGCCAACCATAGATATCGGGTGTGCGTCGGCAGGGGATCGAACCCTGGACCATGTGCATGGTCGGCGAGAGTCCTAACCACTGTGCCACCGATGTTACTCAGGTGTAGTGGAGGCCAACTTGGTTGTGGAGCCCTGTCGAGATTGAGACATTCATTTCACCAGTAATCATCACCTATCACATAACAGCAATAACAACAAACAGTCTGCCTAACACATGACACATCTTAGATATTTTTTATCACCGAAAGGTCAACTATCATCAAAATACTTTTGTTGTTAGAAATAAAATTCTTTGTGTGGGTGTGTGTGTTTGTCGGAGGGGGGTGGGTGGGTGGTTTGGTGTAATCACTTTCAACTTGAAATGCATGTATGACTTACTACTTACTTACTGTAATAGAAAAGTCAAAGCGACAAGCATTATATGGGTCAGACAAAAACAATGCGACGGCTTGACCGTGTTAAAACAAAGAAAGAAAAAAACAAACAAATATGTGAATGCCGATTAGATTGTAATTCTAGATAGAGTAGAACTTTATTCTAACCGAAGCTATAGAATAATAAATAAATTTATTTTAATAAGAAAGATTATTAAGAGAATAATTCTATATGATTTCAAGTTCCAACTATGAGCATTGCTACGTATATATAATCTGGTACAGATAGATATAATCAGAATCTGTATGACAAACCGTACACAGGGAGAGGGAGAGACACCTTGAAAGTGACAGTAGTTTCGCCCGTGAATACAGTCAAAAAAACACTCATAAAGTGATATCGTCACTTGCTGAGTTTGTTTACAGCACAACTCAGACTAACACAGACTAACGTGAAACTTGTCACAAAAGGCTTCACTTCAAGTCACTACACTTCAAAACAAGCACACGAAATCAGATAACAGAGCCATGGACAAAAAAGTTAATTAAAGACTGTTGATGCTTTCTTTTTCAGAGTTCTGGAAGGTGACAAATATTGAAAATCACGGAATATACACATTTGATCATAGGGAATAAAAAGACAGTTGCAGAGAAGAAAATTTTCTTTTTGACGAAATCATCAACTAGACAGCAGTACATTCGTGTATTTATAATAAATGGGTAGTAAAGTTCCAGAATAATTTCTGATCAAGGATCAGATTAATGGAATTACAATAAGGAATTAAACCCACGCTATGTATCCAAAAGAAATACGTTCAACCCTTGTCCCTGCCGTGGTCATTATAACACAGGTAATCCTTCTAATAGTGACTATCCCATTGACATTCTTATCTAAACTTCCTGTTTATTTATGTTATTTTAAGTTATTCTTAATCCGTATTTACACTACCATATTTTCATATTCGAACTTCCTGTCTATTTGTTATTTTATTATTTCTACATATTTACTCCCTAACGGCATAAACAATTATTCGTCACATTAGTTATGATCCCACTAGATTTTTTATCCAAACATCCTGTCTATTGTTGTTATTTCTACATTTCTAACCCCTAATTGCACAATATGTCAATCTTCTCAGTAATTATGATGCTACTTTGTTTGAGTTTTATTCGTCCCCCTGTTTATTATGGCATTTTAATTCCTAATTGTCATTGTAATAATCTGACCTTTGACCGGAAATTATTCTGGAACTTTACTACCCACTTATTATAAATACACGAATGTACAGCCTAGTTGATGATTTCGTCGAAAAGAAAATATTGAAAAGTATTATCGAAAATTTTAAGCAATTTCACGAAGAATTCCGAAGCCAGTAGTCATTCAATCTACACATTTGTAGATTGCCTTCATGAGGCAGAATGTTACTCACAAAAATGAGAGGGCGAATGGGAATATCAGGTGTGCTTGCAACCGGACTACTACTGGTGGACATTCAGGTCTACTCAGAGGAGGTAGAAAAACCCTGCTTATTCCAAACCTATGGTATACATGGACTTCAGAGTTCAAATGGATTAAATGGAGTAGGAACCTGTTTTGGTTCACCGGGTAAGACGCTGCTTACTGCCTTGTGGTTCAGACTTCAAGTCAAACGCTCAGGCTAGAGGTGGTCCCTGAGTGGTAGGCAATCATCTGATCCGAGCTGGGCGTTCGGGGAATATCTCAGCTTTCGCACAAGCTATAAAAATAAGTAATTGGATGTGGTTGTATTATCTAAGCAAAGTGATTTAATTGTAAAGCTTTCATTTCTCCTTCTAGTAGACAACATCGCTTCAGAGCGAGCTTCAATATGAAATGAACTTACCTGAATTCTTCATGAGTGATATAAATGTATCCCTTGACAGTCACTTTGAAATTTGACTATTTTTGTCAATAAAAACAATTAAGTAATAATAGTGATAATAATAATAATATTAATGACGACACCAATAATAAGGAATCTAAATCGTCAGTAGTAATTCCATACAAGGAAGGAACCTCGGAAACCTTACGCAGAATTCTTAACAAGGCAGGAACAAAAGTGGGTGGCATTCAAACCCACCAACTCAATTAGAAACAAGCTTTGTCGGTTAAAGGATCCTGTCAGTGGAGCCTTTAAAACAAAACAATTTAGTTTATCTAATACCCTGCCAGAATGATTGTCAGGTCAAATACATAGGTCAAACTAGTAGAACAGGGACAGTCAGACTAGCTGAACATAAAATCCTAGCAAAATCTAGATTGGTTGATCCAAATAAGATAAGAAATCTAGAGAATAGTTCAGCTATAGCACTACATGCAGTCACACACAACCATACAATAGGATGGGATAGGATGACAGTTTTAAAATCTAATGTCACAGGGTGGATGGAGAGATTGATAACAGAAGCTTTGTTTATCGAATCAACTACAAATACATGTAGTAGGAATGATTCATCACATGTCCCCGATATCTGGAAAATTCTACTACCCATACGACAAATAGGAGAGAACAAAGAGAACTATAAAACTCAAGTTTCAAAGTCGTGTGATTGTAATTGATATGATTATGAACAATACTAGATTGTGTTCGAAACTGTGTCATCCAGTAAATAATCCTGTTTCACTGAGTGATATATCTAATAAACAAACTAATACGGAACAATTAACACCACTGCGAATTAATAACTAATCATGACAAAAGTTATCCAGAGATACAATTATATCATTATTCGTGGAGATTTCAAACTAGTTCACTTCATATTATCGATTGCTACGAAGATGTTGTTTACAAGGACAATGAAAGCATCACAATTAAATCACTCAGCTCAAGGAACGTAACCAAATGAAAATCATACAACTGAGTTACAAATCTACTCTATTATATACGTAACACATAAGAGAGTCCACATCCATTCCACCTACCCTCAGAATCCTAGCAACCTTTCCAGCTTCTTATATTGTACGAACATTCCATGCCCCAATGCTTACTTTTGCTTTCATCGAAGGAAGACATATAGGCTAACTGACTTCCTGAAGGCCTTCACTAGCACGCGTCCTCTCACCTTGCCGATTCCGGCAAGATTGATTTTCTGAGGTGGACTGAATCATGCGGCACACCGTCAGTGGGGAGCGAGAAGACAGAAATACGCTGGACCGATGAGAAGACTACCAGATCTGGACTTCATGTATAATTCACGTTTAATGTCACACAAACGCGAAGAATTACAGGCAGAAACCATCAAACTGGCAGAAGACGCCAGCAGCAAACAGTAGACTTCAAGTGAACATAGAGAAGACGGAGGTGATGAAGATAGCAAGCCCACAGCAACAACAACCGACATCAACGGGAAAAATTTAAAAGAGATCACTTCTTCCACTTATCTAGGAACCATCACTTCAACTACAGGCGGCAAGACGAATGAGGATGTCAAAGACAACATCTGGAAGGCAAGACACAACTTCACTAAGCTGAAATCAGTTTGCAAATGCACTGCAATAGGCATAAGGAACAACATTTGGATTTTCAACACAAATGTTAAGTCAATCCTCCACTATATGGGTCAGAGACTTCGCATGTCACCAAATCTATTTCCAACAGGCCACTACACACGTTTATCAACAGCTGACTTCACTGACTTCAAACTGAAGATCAAATGGCCAGAAAGGATTAGCAACACGGAACTCCGGGGACGAACCAATCAACAACGTAGTGTCCAACAAATATTCCGAAGAAAATGGAGGTGGATCGGACACATGCTAAAGAAACTGTTGAGTGACATCACACACACCGGGTCTACGAGTGGGGAACGACGAGTTGAGCTTAGGTTTGAGGGTGACAGGGAGGGGAGATCATGTGACAGGGAATGAAAGCTTGTGGGCAATTATGAGGTTAGCTGAAGAGGATGTGCTGTCGAGGCCCTGTATTCCACTCGGAAGCCAAGGCAATAATATATATATAAATACAGTGAATGCAATAACCTTAAAACAAACATGTATACTTTTATAAATGATACAATATACAAAACACACACACACCGAACCAGCCAACTAAACAATCAACAAGTAATGCACGCACACACACACACAACACACACGCACGCATACACACACACGGAGAGAAATAGAACAAAACTCTTTTTTACATCATAACGCGTGTAATATGAAAATGTGAAGAAGACAAAAAAAAAGACAAAAATGAATAACAGTGCATCATAAATATTTTACTTCAATCTTATCATATACATATATTACTGTGTGTCCTGAGCAATGAATTCATTGATATATATATATATATATCAGGCAGCTTAAGCTTATAGGCAAAGAAATAACTACAATGCATCAATAATGCATAAACTGATTACATAACAGAAGTAAGGACAGTAGTATATCAGAGTGAATGTCACACTTCCTGTCCTTCCCATCCCATTCCAACCAACCCTCAAAATCTCTTTCACAAAATGATTAAATCAGACTGTTCAGTGAAGGATCGAATAACTTTATGAAACAAACAGCAAAGAGACACGTATCCACATACACATAGAAATACCCACAAAAATAATCATAAAACCAGACAGGAGAGAAAATGGGGTGGAATCAGGGGGGTGGGGTGGCGGGTATTACAAAATATCAATAATAACAGAATTATGTAGTAACAAGTTATGAACGAGTTATCAACAATGCATAATGCAGTAGTAACTATGAGCAAGGAGATGGTAACAAGAGAACTAATTAATTAAAAAAATAAGAAGGTGACATAAGAATTAGGAGAGTGAGAGTGTAGGAAGCCGGCGGAAGGGGGAGGGGCGGGAGGCAGGAAAAAAGATTTCGAAATCATCTTCGGGAAAGCATTTTACATTTCTGATGTAAACAATTTGTACAGCAAAATATGATGTAATGACGACAATAAGAATAATAATAATACAAATTGAATATGTCGTCCACTCAGGTGTCTTTATGTTTCCGGCAAAATCCTGATACACTTCAAAATAAGATAATCAATAATGGTAATAGAAAACTTGGGAGGGAAATGTAGGTGTGTATATTGATTGTTGATGCTTTCTTTCGAACAAGACAGAATTTTTGAAAAGAATACTGAGAATTGTATTGACAGGGAAACTAAGCAGTGAATAATACTGTGAAGGCAGGAGCGACAGACGAAAAAAGAAAAGGGAGAGAGAGGGGTCGAGAAAAATCATTATGTGAAAAGAAAACGTGAACAGAGTTTTCTACAAATAAAGACTAAACAAAAACTATGTGTATGTGCTCAAGATACGCTAAAAACGCGTGAGTACATGAGCGAGCGAGCGAAGGCGTGTGTATGTGAGAGAAAACTTGCGGTAGAAATTCAAATGGTCAAGATAATCGATCTACCACTCATGCCTCTCCTTCGTCCATCGTCTTCCTCTACTTTCTTTTGTTTCAATGCAGATTATTGAGAAGTCGGCAGTTCTCTTCAGTAGTAGTAGTAAGCCATTGAATGCACAAGTAGTAATGTTGTGGAGAATTCCATGGATAGAAGGAATAAGAATAATAATAGTAAGGAATATTAACAATACTTGCGTACATAACGAACATAATGTGTATATGCATGTGTGTATAGAAATTTTGTGGCTTTTATATGTTGAATGATGAAATAATAAGGGTGAATCAAATACACAAATACATTCACACACACACGCACACGTATATGCACATGTATTTGTGTGTGCATAGGCGGTCAACTGTGATAGATTTGATGAAGATTGAATCCATTATTCATGTAAAACACTTGTAACCAGTATACATGTGTATAATACTGATAATAGTATTAGTATTAGTAGTAGTAGCAGAGAGGAATTAAGACGAGTGGAATTCAGCAGTCATTTTTGGCATGAGATACTAAAATAGACACAATAAAACAAACAAAAACAAAAAGAAATTGATACATACGCATTTAAGTAGTATGCAATAATTGTTGAAATAATGGAGAACATATGTAATACAGCTCAGGTTTCGGTGTGGCCTAAGTACTTGAATTTGCGGTCGATTGGTCACGGGTTCGAGTCTCAATCCCCCTCTATTTCAGCATGAACAACTGAATAGTATTAGCCATCCTCTCAAACGATGAGTGTGGCTTTTAGGCCCCTGGTACATGAAACATCTGTCCCGAGTAATCGAACTTAAACAAGAAAATAGTCAAGATCACCAAGAGTGATATCTTAATCATTCATAGAGAAACGCAATATAGAAGTCTTTGATGAGCCACTAGGTAGTAACAAGCGTAATATGTCTAGTCCTTTCCTTGGTACAAGCCACCTAGTATAGTGGCCACACTGCAAACTTAACTGATTGAATTCAGTCTGCACCAAAGGATCAGTTACTAGTTACATAAGATATTAAGGATCATTAGAAGCTTGATTGGCAGGCAAGATAAGGACAGTGTTTGACCCAGCTTCTTTTGGATACATAAGTTAGGTTTCTTAATGTGAATCCCAACGGCCTCAGAAATATGTAGTAGATGAACTCTTAAGGTGAAGTTAAGATTAGTTGGTATGTGGTAAATGACTTTGAAAGCCTCGTTGACATCAATCTTGTGTTCTATATCCACAAGATGAGATAGAATAGCACTGTAAATAGATTTTGTTTGTTCTGTACTTAACCACGTAAGGTGACGTTCGGAAATCCGATGAGAAACACGCCTAGTTATACGGCCTATGTAACTGCCTCCACAGAAGCAGTCAAATTGGTAGATACACATAGAAGGAGCGAAATTAGGCAGTTTATCTTTTACTCGACTACTGTGAACAATTTCTATCCCTACACGAGGTCATTTGCGATCCCGAATAGCTCAGTGGTAACATCTCTGACTGAAGCACTGGGTATCGCAGATTTGAACCTATGAAGGGACATAAGTTTCTTTAAGGTTGAAGTTACGCCTTGCTGACCGGTGAGTGCCAACTAGCACGAAACCTAGGTACAAAGCATCCTACCGATTGACTCCAATCATCTAATATCACAAAAGAAAGATCATTTCACACGTTGAAATAAGCACAGAAGATATTGTCTTGAGGGAGAAATGGAGGCTTAGCGATTCAATTACACAACTGAGATAAGACACACCCACACTACCACACCCAAACCAAAATCGTCGTGACATTCTGCTACACAACGTTATTATGTCTTCTATGCAATGCTATAGACGTTTTTTCTCTAGCTATTTTAGAAGTTTTATGCTCAAACAAATATGACTGACATAACGATAAGTGTTTTTTCTACTAGATTGTAAGTGAAGGAGTGATGACGTTGTAGAGTAAAATGTACATAAAGTGTACATATCAACTTTTCTAAAGTGTATGTGAGTTATTTCGATTGCTATGCACATGCTATAACCTATTCTACTTTTTTTAGATAAGCTTGATTGCAATTTGTGCAGGATATTGAGGCACTTTTTTCAATGATGGTGAATGCCTTTACAGGATTGTCAATTGAAATGAAGACACTTCTCATCAAAGAAAAAAGAAGCATTTTTATCTTTCCTACAAAAAAAAAACAATATTGTTTTTGTTTTCCAGTACACGAATAGATATACTTTTGATGATATTAGATGGTTGGAGGCAATCGGAAGGAAGCCTTGGACCTAGGTTTCGTGCTAGGTGGCACTCATCAGCAAGGCGTATCTGCAACCTTGAAGGAACTCATATCCCTTCTGAGATTCGAACCCGCATCACCCAGTGCTTCAGTCAGAGATGTTACCACTGAGCTATTCGGGCTCGCGATTGACCTCCTATAGGAGGTCTAGGCGAGCTACCTAGAATGGTGGCCACATTGCAAAACCTAACCGATAGAATTCAGTCTGCACCAAAGAAAGGACTAGACACGTCACACCAGTTAATAATGTCCAATAAGGAGGGAACAAGAACCGTAAAACTCGAAAAGGTTTTCGTGATTTTCCGTCATATTTGAGTAAGCGAATGTGAAAAGATACGTGTGAAAGGAATGTGTGCAGAAAAAAAATATGAATATCTAGAGAGGTTTTGAAGGGGGCACAGATAAAGAGATTGAACATCTCCGAAATCGCGTACACCACAACTACAACACACAAACTCAATCATATTGACATCATATGGTCAATATTACCAGAATTTTGAGAGAATCGTCATGTCAAAAATGAATTTTTCACAGATGAAAGAATAGTATTTGAAAACTTTAACGTTATTGTCACACTATGTAGAGAAATGATAGTGAATTCAAATCAAAGGCATGGCTCAATAGGATAAACATTCTGGGTAAATCAGACCACATCCACTCATTCTATCTAGTGACAAGAAGCGGTTAAAACAGATAGCACAGAAGTATACTATTTATTTGACGGTCTCATGAATCCTACTCAATCTGGTTAGCAAAAGAAGAGTGAAAAGGTGTTGTCAAGTCGACAACAGAACACATAATGATCTCAGTGCACTCTGATTATTATTCCCTTGGGTTCCGAGTGGAACAAAGAGCTTCAAAAACACATTTTCATTTCGTTCTATTTTCTGCTGCCCTCTTCAGAATGGTCAACGATTGACCATAATGTCTCATCTCCTCCCACGATCCTCATCCATGTCACCCTCGCGCTGACGACCCAATCGTCGCTTCCCATTGGGATTCCACTCAACAGATGACTTGATTGCGTGCTGTGTCATTCGATGACCTCCTCAACGGATACTCAATCCATCTCCACCATATCCTATATATTTGTTTCGTGATCAACTCTTCCTTGTTGGTTTGTTGCTAGCCAGAGTTCCTTGTTGCTAGTTATTTGTAACCCACCGACTAGTCGGTTATTTGATCTTCATTATCGAGCCAGCCAGCGAAGTGGGTAGTTTTTGATAAAGGTTTGCAACTGGCTGTTGGAAATGCTTTTTGTGACTGATACGCAGTGCGAGTTTCTGATCCATATAGAAGAATTGACTGACTGAATCCACATTTGTGTTGAAAATCTGAATCTTATTCCGCGTGCTGACTGAGTGCAGGGAATTACCAAACTGGTGTCAGGTTGACGAAAGCGTATTTTGCTTGTCTTTCCGATTCTGGCTGCTTGGCTTTGACATCTTCATCAATACTGTCCGACTGCCTGTGGTTGAAACCGTACTTCCTAGATAAGCGAAGGATTTAACCTCTGCCAAATGTCTCCTGTTGATGGTGACTGGTTGTTGTTTTTGTTGCTGTCCGTTGGCTATCTTCATCACCTCCGTCTTCTCTATGTTCACCTGGAGTCACTTCTTCTGTGGCTGCGTTTCCAGTCAATTTTTTTAGTTTTTACCCACAAGTCTTTGAGTCTCTGTGACATCAATCATCCACGCGCGAAATCCAGATCTCCTAGAGTCTCTTTATCGATCCAACTTATTCCTGTCTTCTCACTTACAACGCATAGTCTGACGCATAATCCAGGCCACCACAATTGAGAATATCACCATTGATAATAAACAGGCAGCCTTATCTTACTCCTTTATTCACTTCAAACGCCTCACTGAGTTTTCCGTTGTGGATCACGTGACACGTGACAGGCATTGTCATATAGCCAGATGTTAACTGAGGTTGATAAGGATTTGGACACTGCACACCGTAGTGTTCAATTAGTTTCCAAATTACTTCTAGGTCAGCGCTGTTGAAGGTCGATGAAGTTGAGGTGCTGTTGAGGCCCTATGTTCCACTCGGAACCCAAGGGAATAATAATAATAGAAAACCAATAACTGTAATTTCTATGGTTATAGAGAGAGATAAGATCATTCGCTACCAACACATTTTACAGTGTGATAATGTGAACTTGAATAGTTTTTTCCATGGAATAAATTGTTCACTTTTCTTTTTGTCCCTCCAACACAGACCAGAACCACCACAAAGGCATTAGTAGAATCGTATTAAAAGCAACCAACGAATTGACCAACGAATCACACTACAATACTAATAATTATATTTTTCTTTGGGTCTCGAGTGAAACATAGTGCGTTGTTCAACAGCATATCTTCGCGTCGTCCTGTTCCCTGAGATCTTCAAATGGCTCCACGATTGCCGATAGACTCTCATCTCCTCCTCATAAGGTCGTCTGCATGTCACCCTGGGACCAAAGCCAAACTCCTTGGTTCCCATTCCGGTTCCACTCGAGCAATGGCCTGGCGCGCGATGTCTCCTTAGCGTGCATCCGATCCATCTCCATTTTCTTCTACATACTTGTTGAACACTAATATCAATGGTTTTATACACCACTAGTCTTCTCTTGTAATATATTTCTTTGCTTGCCTGTTTTATCTTAAGTTAAAGCTGAAAATATTACTGATAATACTGCTACTACTACTAATAATAATCCATTTGAAAAAGTAAGTAATATGAGTCGAATAAAAGTAAGTAATAATCGTCATAATGAAAATAAATCGCCACCAAAAAACAATCTAAACTCGATAATACTATTTAAGAAATTCTCATTCAACCAATCGATTTGTTTCATACAACCTGGAGAAAAAGAGAGGTTGAATAATTCTAAACACCAACAGAGAGGAAAAACAATGCGTATTATTATTATTATAGAGATATTGATTATCAAATTAGAGACAGTAGAAACTATTCATAATCGGATTTATCAGGCATTAGTAGAGTTATAAAAACAAATGTGACGGCATTATCGAGAAATGACTTTATCTAGTAAAACTGACCAATGAAAAAAAGAATATATATAAAATGACAAACTACAGAAAAGAAGATACTAATCGACACTTTCTATTGAGTTTTATTCTGACTTTCTGAGTGACTGGTCAAAGATTTCATGGAAGGATTCCGCGTTTTCTTCCAGCTGCCACTAGCTCTTTCCTACTGTAGAGTTATGTCAGCTAACATTACCCGACGAGGAAGGTGATAGCATGGCGTCCATAACACATTTTCTAGCCGTGACAATCAATCATTGTAACTTCACAACTTCATCGATTGATTTTCCCTCCTAACCTAACACTGGACACCTAACCTCAATATTACTCACCCTAATAAATAAACCACCTAACACGGGAGAGATACAACTCAGACACTTATGATCAAGCGCAGTCAGCCTTCTCATATCCTTCACTTCCAATGGCCATGTTTCACAGTTATAAAGGAAGACGGAATGAACTGCTGCTGCTGAGCAGTACACACGTCCTTTGACCGATAGCCAGCCGGATATTCGACAAATAAGTCGAAAGTTAGGCCACTGGATTCTATCTCAGTGACTAAATGATCAATGGGCTCACCTAACAACCTAAAGATTCTTGTGTCGGATCCCTCGTGGAGTCCAGAATGCGTAGAGTTGAAGGGGCCCAAACTAGGACGAAACAGTTGTCAATGGTATTCTAACTGATATCAGTCCATAATCTAACTTGAAACCAATGAAATCCCTATAAACAAACAGCTGAAAATTAATCTACTGCTCATCGGTGACTGGTTATGGGATGAGGTTTCTGAAGTCCCGGCGAGGATTCATAACCACTGGAACTGTGGGGACAGACACTCACCGATAACGTTAATTGCCAGCGGCGCAATATTTCGCGTGTTGTCAGAAGTTAGAGTTCATGGGCCACTGAGCCCAGGTCCCAGGTCCACTACCCCATAGTTTCCAATGACTGTCCAATTGATATTAGTCTGTGACCTAACTTGGAATAATAACGAATGACACGGTAAAATCTATTTATACAAGGAATAAAAGGCTTTTCGGTGTATAGTGTGTTCACCAGCGTGAGTCGACTCATTGCGAAACTTTTAGTGTCCTTCTCTACACAACATTTTCAGTGCTTACTTAAAAATGAGTTTTATTTTGTGATTCTCCATGAGTAGTGATATAACTATTACGCCAGATAATCCTGACTAAAAAGGCCTAAGAATTCTTAGAAGCCGGGTACTCGGATCGATCTTTACCTGATATAGATCAGATTTTGCAATCAATAAGGGACAAGTAACACGACAAAAAATTTGACGGAACAATTGATACAAATACCAATTAATATAGAGACAGGAGAGACAGTTATATCATCATTCATGGAAAATACCAAACAACACACACATATACAGTTCACATTCAAATAAGCTTTACAGTTAAACCATTCAGTTCAGAAAGCACAACTACACGAAAAGCATCCACCACCTAAGCGCACAAAATATTTTGCATTATTTCAAGAATAAAAAAGATTGATTTCATTTTATTTTTGACGAAAACAATTCATGATACATGAAGAAAAAATGAAGAAATTACCTTATGTTCAACTGCTTCACGAGTCTGAGCGACCTTCAGTGAATCGATTTCGTACTAAAAATCTGGCCAGACATTCAGCGACCTAAAAATATTTAAGAAAAAATCAATATTAAAAAACGATATAAATATGTGTTATACGATCACTGTTAGTCATACCGGTTATACAGTTATATGCTTTATAGATGTTTTTAACACTATGATAAAGGGAGGGTTAATTCGCTCTGGTTTTAGACACTTTTATGGGACAAAACTTTGTAGAATTTAGAAAGCATGAGTCAAATTGAACAGTACAAGACTATTTGCGATCACAGTGATATCTGCGAGGGATCAAGTGTGATAGTGTATACCATCGTGAGTGCTGGCTGAGAATTCTCAAAGGAGTCAATGATATGAGATTCTTTTTAAGCTAACTTTAATTTCCGATAGAAATTATTTTTGAATAAAGCAATTTCTTTACATATCCGAAAAGTAAAAAAAACTAGTAGTTTCCTAAAACGGTTTTCATCATTGACAAACACATGTTGAAAGTCAGTAATGATGACTCTGAAATAATAGTAACCATTATTATTATTATTTATTTTTTATTTCCTTCACGTTCCCCAGTGGAACATAGGGCTTCAAGCTAGTGGCTTGAAGTTTCTGTAGCAGTGTTTATTTTACAGAATGGGGTTGCTAGCCTCACGCCCAACCTTTCTTCTTCACCAACTTTTAGCTCTAGAGTAGCGAGGTAAAGGAGTGCGTCGGCCGGGCATCGAACCCCGGACCATATGCATGGTTGGCGAGCGTCCTAACCACTATGCCACCGACTCACATTATTATTATTATTATGATTATATTATTGTTTCCTTTAGTTTCTAGAGCAACATAGGGCTTCAGCCGCACGTCTTCATTGCGTTCGGTTCTCCAACAACTTTTTCACCTGACTCCACGTCCACCCAGATGCTTTTATCTCCTCTCCAAATGACCTGCTCCATGTCACCCCACCCTCGCATTGACGACCGACTCGCCGCTTCCCATTCGGGTTCCACTCGAGTAATGGTCTGGCGTGTGATGTCACTTGATGGTTTGTTTCCTCAGAATATGGCCAATCCACCTCCATTTATTCCTGCATATTTGTTGCACAATTGGTTCCTGCTGAGTTGGTTTGCTCCCAGAGATCCCTCCCTGTTGCTGATCTTTTCTGGCCGGCCATCTGATCTTGAGTGTTGAGTGAAGACAGCTGTTGATGAAGGTTTGTAGTTTGTTTGAGGTGCTCTTCATGACGCGCCACGTCTCTGATCCATAAAGTAGCACTGACTTCACATTGGAGTTGAAAATCCGGATGTTATTTTTGATACTGAGTGCTGTTGACCTCCACACAGACTTGAGAGTAATGAAGACTTGCCCTGCTTTCCCAATCCTCGCTTTGACATCATCATCAGTTCCATCCGCCTGTAGTTGAAACGATGTTTTCCATGTAGGTAAGTAAAGGAGGTTGCTTCTTTCAGATTTCTCCCATTTATGCTGACTGTTGTCTGTTGTTGCTGCTGTTGGCCAGGAATCTTCATCACCTCTGTTTTCTCAATGTTCACCTGAAGGCCTATCTTTGATGCTTCTTCTGCCGGGTTCAACAGGCTGCAGACTTTTATCGCAACCTGAATTCGCTTGCTTGCTGTAGCCGGTGTTACTCAAGGTGCTTTTCTATCTCCTTCTGCCGCACATATGTGCAAAGTTCTATGTCGAAAACCGACCGACAGGACTCATAGGAAAGTTAAGAGTAATTATTCGAAAATAAAGATAGTTATTGACTTGGCGTAGTGCTGAAGAGGAAATTACTTCTAGTCTCTTATTGTCATACATAATGTAGATAATGTCTACTTAAGTAGCTAAAAATCTACATATCATATATCAGAAGGGTAAACATAACCATCATACTCTAAACAATCAACATTCTCATCCCGCCGTTTCTCACAACACCTCACAGCTTTTGGTTCGACCCTTTGCAATGTTGTGAATGAGAATAAATGAAAAGGCCTGTATCAAGATAAAACAGATGCCCAATGCTTTGTTTTTAATACTTCCCTGACTGATTTCATTTCTAAATGCAAATCATAACTAAATCAACAAACACCACACGAACACAATATCGAACTAAAATGATGAACTATGACAGAGAAGAATATTTAGAATAATAATAATACACCAAAAGGACTTAGAGGTTTAGGTAAGACTGAAATTAGGTATATCACTGTGAAATCTAAATGTTAGATAGAAAAGAAATCTCTTTTTAAAAAAGTAAACTCACCTTGTCTGGAGCGTCCTCCTGTACAGCATGTCCAGTACGTGGGAATAATTGGACCTGGAATTTCCCTAGAGAAAACCAACCAGAAATATTTACACACTAAACAGAGGTATCCGCTTAAAATTCGATGCAACGCAACAGTTAAATCATATTCTATTCCAATATTTGAAATCAGTAGGTGTAACAACTGGCCTTTAAAAAGTTGAAGCCGGTAGCTTATCATGCCCAGCGTATGTATAAGCGGCCCTATCAAGTGACTTACATTTCTTAACTACTACTCACAAAGTGTATTTACTAAGCATAAGCGATTAAGCCGACTGCTGATCAGTAGTTAGATACGTCTTTGACACCCCAGATAACACTATCAGCTTGAAATCAAACAGACGCCTTTATTTTTTTGCTGATATATTGTCGTCAACAATCACTTCCTTGGTACATCTCTTTTAATTCATGAATAATTCCCATTCGGACATTAGTAGACAAAAGACAAGTATTCAAGTGTCGGTTTGTAGGGATTTGATTGGTTACAGGATTTTCATCATGAGCTGACATTAGTTAGAGAACCATTGGAAAACCTGGGAGTACTGGACAGCTGTTTCGTCCTAGTTTGGGACTCTTCACAGTACGCACCCACCGGAATTAGAACCCAGGACCTTCTGGTTACAAGGCGAGCTCGTATACCATTAAGCCACTGGGACCCGATCCAATGGTCCATGAATTCTAACTTCTTCCAATTCACGCCATAGCGCGACCCCTAGCCAATGTCTTTCGCGAGTATTTGTCCTCACGCCCGACCTGCTGCACCCTACTGGTCACGACTTCTCACTAGAACCCCAGGCAACTACCTACCTGAATAGGGCAAGTCACAACTTCACAAGTAGTTCAGCAAAGAGTCTCTTTTCGGCGAATTCATTTTCAAAGCTGTACAAACGCAAACATATATGGTTATTTTGTGTGCGTGTGTATACATTAAATTTGTCAAACGAAAATACGGTTAGTAAGTTCAAATGAATTGGATGTTGATAAGAGGATAGCAACAAAAGTGATGAGTTGACAAAATAATATACAGAATTACACAAGGGTTTTAAGTTAGACCCAACTCTTCTTTGTTTGTTTGATTTGACCTTACCTCTGTTTGTATGCTTATTTTTCTAACTTAAAACCCTTGTGTAATTCTGTATATTATTTTGTTTCCATGTACACCCTTTGAGTACACCTCATTCATCAAACTATTCATGCCATTGCGTAACTCTTATTTAACAATCATTTATGACAACTCATCACTTTTGTTACTATCCTCTTATATGAACATCCAATTCACCTGAACTTACTCCTCTTTAACAATCGTTTTTGACAACTCATCACTTTTGTTGCTATCCTCTTATCAACATCCAATTCATTTGAACTTACTAACCGTATTTTCGTTTGACAAATTTAATGTATACACACGCACACAAAATAACCATATATGTTTGCGATTGTACAGCTTTGAAAATGAATTCGCCGAAAAGAGACTCTTTGCTGAACTACTTGTCTTTTGTCTACATCTCTTTTAGCTTCAGGCATAGGCGAAGAGGTCAGTGTATTTGAATATTTGCTTCGGTGTACAGTACTTTATCAATACAATACCGGTTATATTGACAAATTTTAAATCCAGTGTGTTTCAGTCGTTTCCTGGTTGTTAGTCTTCGGAGTAGCGACAATGGCTTTAACTTTTGAAAAATCCATGTTATTTAAGATTCCTCTCCTGTCCTTCTTTTATGGCCATTAGGTATGGTCTTTGAAAGTGATTGGTATGAAGAAGTTAGTTGTCTTTAATTATGTGTATCTCCGTTCTCTCTCTTGTTTTAGACAGTATAATATGATGAGAAATATTGAAAGTTATTCGATGAAACTGTTAAGCTGCATCGACTGAGATGGTTACGACACGTATCATGTTAAATCAAACCACCACTTTCCACGTCCAGCAATGGTAGGTGGTATAAGATTAGACAGGAAAAAAGTTATACGAGTCGAGCATCAAACCATAAAGTCTTGGACTACAGGTTTGATCCATGAAGGATAGTGCAGACTGCCTGACTGGGTTCACCAGGATATTATAAACAAATGATTGGAGATTGTTAGTGACATGATTGAAAACTGTTCTCAATGGCGTAGATACATTGACTCCGAGTGATACTACACATATCCACTAAAAAAAAGCTCACGATTCTCCAGGTAATCATTCTTTTTCCCATACAGCTCTCGTTTGTTGTAGTTTGATTGTATTTCTTTTTCTCTGAATTTTTGTGCGAAATCCTGTTGAAAATCCAGCCCACATGAGGTCATCTAATGATATGATCGAAAATATACGATCATAACCCTGTGAAACACAAAAGTATGCCAGCATAGGCAGGAAACGAACTAATCAAGATATCATCATCATCATCCAAAACAAGAAGTCTCAAGAGATTTCAAGAAGAACTGCAGAAGAAATCCTACCGATTACTTGTCTATCACCTAAAACAAAGAAGAGATATTTTGAGATGAATGATCGTAGATGTTTTTTATATGCATTTCCTCAGCTGTTTCTGGTATTTAACTAAATGAGCTGTAAATTGTCATGCTGAAAATGTTCCCTCTTGCCCTATCTATCTCTTCCTTTCACTATGTGGAATAAAAAACATCAATGATAGTTGTCACAATGGAAACATAAATTTATTGACATAAACTGGTAAAGTGGACTCATAGGCTTGAACTCGAGTGCTTAAGCTAAGATGGGGTATTACTATTTTTCTTCCTTTGGGTTCCGAGTGAAAAATAGGGTTTCAACAGTGCATCACTTTGCTCTGTTTGGCGCTGTCCTCTTCACCTGGGTCCACGATTGCCAATAATCTGTCATGCGACGGCCTTCTCAGTCAACGTATACCCGATACATCTCCACTTTCTCCTACATATGAGTTGAGTGATCAGCTCTTGGTTGATTTGCTGCCAGAGTTTTGTGTTGCTAATTCTTTCTGGCCAGCCCGCCGGCCGGCCATTTGATCTACAGTATGCAGCCAGCCAGCCAGCAAAATGAGCGGCTGTTGATGAAAGTCTGCAATGGCCTGTTGGAAATGCTTTTCGTGACTCACGCGCAGTGCAAGTTTCTGAGCCCATATAGAAGAAGTGACTGACTGACTTCACACTCGAGTTGAAAATTCGAATTGTGTTTTTTATGCTGACTGAGTGCAGAAGATTTCCAAACTGGTTTCAGGTTAAAGAAAGGCGTAACTGGCTTCTCTTTCTGATTCTGGCTGGCTAGCTGCATGGCTTTGACATCTTCATCCGTACTGTCCGACCGTGCTTCCTATTCGGATAAATGAAGGAAGTGAAGTGACCTCAGTCAAATGTCTTCCGTTGTTGGTGACTGGTGCTGGTTGTTGTCATTGTTACTGTCTGTTGGCTATCTTCATCACCTCCGTCTTCTCTACATCTTCAACCCAGTTTGTTGGTTTTCACCAGCAAGTTTTTGAATTTATGTGACATTAAACATGAATCATCCACGCGTGAAATCCAGATCTCCTACAGTCTCCTTATCGGTCCAACTCATTCCCGTCTTCTTAATTCCAAAGCACAGTCTGACTCATAGTCCAGTCCACTCCAATTAAGAATATCATCAGTGATAATAGACAGACAGCCTTGTCTTACTCCTGTATTCACTTCGAACGGTATCGAACGTAGGAATTTCAGTTTAAGAAGTGAGGTAAGGCGAGATCAATAGTAATATTCACTATACCGATATATATATACATATGTTTATATATATATATATATATATATATATATGTATATATATACATATATAAACTCAAATATTGAAAAGAACAGGAAACCGAACCTAGTAAAAAGACAATAGGAAGAAGAAGAAGAAGAGAAAAGAAAGAAAGAAAAAGGGGGGTGTATTATTATCATCATCATTCCATAGCATACCTTGCATTTGTCCAATCATTAGATCTTTATCTAATCGATCAGCATCAGCTAATAAAAGTAATTTTGGCTCAGGTATTGACAGAAACAATTTCGACAGACCAGAAAACCATTCTTGCCAGAAAGGCTGTGTTTTCATTAAATCTATACGCCAGGTATACTGTGAACGATTCGATTGAGATGATACTGAAGTGGCCAGTGGAGAGAGAGAAGGAGTAGAAAAGGAAGAGGCCTCATTATTGTTAGTACTGCTATCATTATCATTATTTATAGGATGATGAGATTTGCCGCCAGTTGAATTGGATATGTTAGATGAAAGTGATGCGTGATTCAGCTTTTCTGATTGTAAACTGTCATCAATATTTGAATGTTTAGGAAGCTATTGAAAAAAACAACAACATTCGAAACGAAAACAAAAGAATATTTGGTTAGTAGTAATACATTACATTAATGCATAAAAATGTCCTCTAAATGTAAAGAAACAATAGTTATAAAGTAAGAGTAGAATTTGAGCAATGTAAAAAAATATAATTCCAGATTAGATAAGTTTATTTGTTACAAAGGGAGACAGTATTAATAACTGGATCAGTCACGTTTTGAGCGCGATTTATTGCTCATATATATTCATATCAATGAACTCACAAAACTTGTTAACTTGCTTTATATAACCTTACTCCAGTTTGCAGTTCTTCAAATATCCCGTATATGCATTGTGTTATCTAGATTGCGCGCATTTGGTGTTGATTCGATGAACATGGATTGGGTGATTTACTTATCTCCACTCCACCTAACTAGATTACTTCTTAATACTTACCAACAATACTTAACAAAAACAGCAGCAACATCCAGCGCCAATCACCATCAACGGGAGGGATTTGAAAGAGGTTACTTCATTCATTTATCTAGGGAGGAGCATTGTCTCAACTACAGCAGGAACGGACGAGGATGTCAAATCGAGAATCGGAAAGGCGAGAAACACATTCATCAACCTGAAACCAATCTGGAAATCTTCGTCACTCAACTCAGCATCAACAACAAAATTCAGATTTTCAATACAAACGTCAAGTCAGTTTTGCTATACGGATCAGAAACTTGGCCGGTCACAAAGAATATTTCCAACGGCCTGTTGCAGACCTTTGTCAACAACTGTCTTCGCTGGCTCTATACTCAAGATCAGATGGCCGCCGGAAAGAATCACAAACAAGAAACTATGGGAACAAACAAAACAAGAACCAATCGCTCAACAAATATGCAGGAGAAAATGGAGATGGATTTGACACTAGCTGAGGAGACCGCTGGATGACATCGCGCGTCAGGCCAACGCTCGAGTGGAACCCGGAAGGGAAGCGGTGAGTCGGACGTTCAAGGGTGACATGGAGGAGATCGTGTGAAGAAGAGTTGAACCAGTATGGACTAACATGGATGCAAGTGAAAAGTACAGCAGAAGACAGAAGCAAGTGGAGGCGTGCAGTTGAAGCCCTATGTTCCACTAGGAACCCAAGGGAACAATAATAATAATAATACTTTTACCCTATCCTACTATCCTATTGTGTGATTACATACAGGTAAATGCAATGCACCTTACCTTGGTTTTAAACTCATAGAGATCGGGGTCGATTAGACTATCAGAACATAAATCTAGAATGATTAACGCCGCTAAGCTAAATGATTTAGAAAAAAGCTCAGCCACTGCAATGCATTCGCTGGCATGTAATTACACAATAGGATGGTAGGACAGTAGAGGTAAAAGCATCAGGAGGCAATATGGTGAAGTGGAGAGGAAGAGAGGTTAATCACCGGATCTTAGTTCAAACAACCAACATCAAACACGTGCACTAGCAGTGATAGATGAAACATTGCAACAAACAACAAGGGGGATACATATATATGTATATATAAAGCGAATTATGAAGCCGTGATGTTGAATATATGAGCAATTAATTGCCCTCAAAACGTGATCCAGTTGTTAATACTGTATCAGTGAGAGTTAAATCAAATAAACTTATTGAATATAGAACAATTATAAAGATTTCTAGAGATAAGGTAATTTATTCTATAATGATTATCCTTGCTATACACATGTAATAACACATTACAGCTAGTTAAAGCATGTTGGTTTTATATATTCACCTCAGATAGGTAATAAGGTTTCCGTTTACGTTATTAACTGAAAACTTAGCTGATATACGTGTTCTCAATGTAAACGTTATTTTCTCATACACCCGCCTCCCTTAATTCGTTTGAGTAAATAGTATCGACAAGGTGCTTAATTATCGCAACCCTTATAGAGCCAATGCTACCGTTTCGCCGTCATGCAGGAAAGTGTTCTTCAACCCTTTTAGACAGGATACACATCGAACGATCAAATTGCATTCAGGACTGCATCAGACCAACAAAAAGAGTTTAACGACCTGAATCCTGCTGCTACTAAGAAAGACTTTCTTTACAACTTTAAAAATCACTTCATACGATGTTTAATGAAAACTAAGAAACAGATTATGCTCAACTTTAAGGTGTTGGTTTGCAGGAATTTGATTGCTTTCAAATTGGATCATGCAGTGACATCAGTTAAGGGAAAAATTGAGAACTCATGAGTACCAGAGAACTGGTTCATGATAGTTTGGGACTCTACAGCAATACTCCCCCCATCACCCCCAAACAGGGATCGGAACTTACGGTCATTAGGTTACGAGGCGAGGCAGTCGCGGCTACACTACATTTAGCAAATTGGCAGAATTTCACAATTCCCATTTACGCATTTCGAAAAATCCAGCAACAAACTGAGCGAAGAAGTATATTCCTTTTCAATTAGTTCCCCATCATCAGCTCTGCACTAATATGTATTTTTTTTACATCAAAATTTTCTACCAATGTAGTGGTTATTTCAGTTAATCAGTTTTAGGTATGGGGGGAGCTGAAATTAAGAGGTTAAAAGTCATCAAAACAATTAACTAATAGATGTTAGTAACAAGATATCTAAGTTTTGAAGGAGGGAGGGATGAAACTTAATTACGGAATTCAAGATAAGTTAATCCATAGGCGTTAGCAACAAGTTGTTACATAATCAAGAAATTTGTAAAATAATGATGACTAAGAAGAATTACGTTACGTGAAATAAAAGCACGGTAATGGAGTTGGCGGTAATGGAACGGTAATTGGAACTAATTGGTAATGGAACTAATTGAAAAGGAATATACTTCTTCGCTCAGTTCGTTGTTGAATTTTTCTAAATGCGTAAATGGGAATTGTGAAATTCTGCCAATTTGCTAAATGTTGCGTAGCTGCGACTGCCTCGCCTTGTAACCTAAAGACCGTAGCTCCCGATCCCTGTTTGGGGGTGATAGAGAAGTATTGCTGTAGAGTCCCAAACTATCATGAACCAGTTCTCTGGTACTCGTGGGTTCTCAAATTTTTCGTAACTGATGTCACTGTATGATCCAATTTGAAAGTAATCAAATTCCTGCAAACCAACACCTTAAAGTTGAGCATAATCGGTTTCTTAGTTTTCATTAAACATCGTATGAGGTGATTTTTAAAGTAAGTGTAGCGTAGCTGCGACTGCTTCATCTTATGACCTAAAGGTCCTGGGTTCGATCCGCAGTGGGGTCATAGGTACTTACTGTCCAACAGTTCCAAACCAGGAGGGTTTTCAATAGTTCTCTAACTGAAGCCAGTCTGTGATCAATTATGATACAGTTCACTTTGAAAAAGAAGTTCCCATTCACGAACAGAGTATATAAATATGCAATGATAGCTATTTTTAAAAGCCAACCAATATGGCAAAAACCGAAAGAATCACAAAAATAACATTCTCAATCTAGCGAACTAGGGAATTAGTGAAAAACATGAAGTCATTTGTAAAACCTAGTACTTTTGAATTATCACTAAAGCGCAAGTACACGATCTACACATTAGCATTGACATCCTTTTAATGTTATGTTACTTAATAACTGCTTGTCTTTTCATGCAGTTGGCAATGTACCACACCAACTGTGTGAGGTTTTGTGATACTATTTGGCTGGTATAAACCTCAGTCAGTGGAAACAGGTTCGAACCCGTGACCAGGTGTGTTTGGAAGTCAAACGCTTAGACCAATGAGTCACAGGTGTTCACTAGTATCGTTATGAAACAGAAATCAGACATTTTTGAGTTTAAAAGACGGTTGATAAAACGGCAAACAATAATATCGAGAATAAACTATATAACTGAAATAACTCACTTCCAAGGAATTGTGATTATGTTCTAATACATGTTGTGAATCAGTAACATCGGTAGAAACTTCAAAATTTTCACATTCACATTCGCCTTCCTCTTCATCAGATTCTGAATTTTCAACTAATGGTTGGCTTGACAATCGACTGACAGAAGAAATTCGACTGTCTGACACTGAATTTACAGGTATAGGAGGAACATTTTCTGAAATAAATGCAATTCCCTCGTCTAATTCACTAGTGGCAGTTTGACCGCTTGAAATGCGTTTCAATTGTCCAGGGAAAGATACACGAGCTGAATTTACATTACGAATTTGCATGCTTCGAACACTATCAAAATATAAATATGCATATACGTCGGAAGTTAATTTTGAAACGGATGCGAGGCATGAGAGACTAGAAAACATTGAAGGGTTTCTCCTAAAGCATTTACAAACTAATAGAAGCTAATTGATGAAAGTAGGAAAATAATAAGTTACATCAATTCGATTAGTCTATACGTTTTCAGGAAGTGTTTCAAACAAAATATGTCAGTCTCATACTTCAAAAAGTATATGATAATTTTATGACATTGGGCATCTAGACCCAGCACTGTTGGCATTAGAAATGAAGCTGTAATGAATAAACTTACTCATATAAAAACTTGTCTGTTTTCTGTATGCTGTGCTGTATTACAATATTAATTAAAATAAGCAGAAACTGACAAAAGAAATGAAAATTCATCAAAAACCCTGATCCCTTAGCAACATATTACAACCTCGGATACATATAAAGATGAATTTTACTGGCGAACGATGCTTGCTGCATTATTAGCTGAGAGATTTAATGTCCAAAATTAGAGAAAAGCTTCAGTGGAACATCATTTAGGTAGTTAACAAGCGATATTTCACCGCACATTAGATGAGACAGAACGTTACGCAATGCCTTACACGCGCAGACCACCAGCTATTTCCAACCGGCTGCAAAGTGAAGCATTAGCGTCGTTGACGAACCACTGAAGTACTACCCTCTTGCGAAACTAAAAGTCATTATGAAGAACGTAATGACAGTTAAACTATGGTTTAAGTATGCATTAACAAATAGCATTCACTTAGCTTAAGATAGATAATATTAGATGGTTGGACACTATCCAATCTAAGTATCCAATACAGTCCTATAGGAGGTCAGTCGCGAGCCCGAATAGCTCAGTGGTAACGTCTCTCTCTCTCTCGCTGACTGCAACACTGGGTGACGCGGGTTCGAATCTCCGAAGGGACATGAGTTCCTTCAAGATTGCAGATACGCCTTACTGACTGACGAGTGCCAACAAGCCCAAAACTTAGGTCCAAGGCTCCCTGCCGATCGCCTCCAATCATCTAATATCATCAAATCAATGTGCACTGTGATGGCGAGCTACTTAGAATGGTGGCCACATTGCAAACCTGACTGATAGAATTCAGTCTGCACCAAACAAAGGACTAGATACATCACACTAGTTACTAGTGTCCAATCAAAGTAAAGATAGATAATGATAACAGTTAGAAAGACAGCTATAAAAGAAGACTTTCAGCCGGAAGTCTCAAATGACTTGATAGGCTAATTTGAAACTACCATCGGCAGACAGAAGTGATACTGGATGTTTTACTAAGCATGATTGAAAAACACTGCTATTGAACAAATAAATAAATATGGTTTTTGTGTGAAACACCTGTGGTTGTATCTGTACAGGATATTTTTTAAAATTCGGTCGATACACTATTATGTAAGTCTTATACACAACTGGATTTCAAGCCTCCAAAAATCATATTGGTTAGACTGATTTCTTTGAAAAAAAGTTACAGTAATGCTAACTTCGTTGTTTTTTTTCTATCTCATTCATAGTATCTAGATGGATTCCATATGATTTCTATACCTGAATCGCTCTATCAGAGTTAATCTGATTGGTAGTTCTAAAATACGCTGATAAATATCTTGAGGTAGATTGTTTAAACTAACCCCAGACAATTAGAATTTATAGCTTCCTCGACAAACGTATTCATTTATCTTACTGAGGAACTATATTCTAACTTTGTTCACAAGGCAGTCTTACCAAATGTGAGCAATACTAACAAGGCAAAGACGTTAAAATCTACACACACACCACACTTTACTGTTACCCTTTTCTAATATTTATCAATTATTGCCTATCAATTCGTTAAAGTGTATGATGTTTGTGTTTAGACCATATTGCATCAGCTCCAACGGGTTGATCGCTGACGAAATCTCAGCACGGATACAGAAGGCTCGTTTCGCATATGCCAGTTTACGCTGTCTCTGGCGTAGACGTGATATCCGGCTGTTGACCAAAGGGCGTATGTACTGCTCAGCAGTCCGCTCCGTCCTCCTTTATGGCTATGAGACATGGCCATTGAGAGTGGAAGATACGAAAATGCTGGCTAGTTGTCCTTGATCATAGGTGTCTGCGTTCTATCTCCCGTGTTAAGTGGTATAACAAGGTGAGCAATATTGAGGTTAGACATCGGTCGAGTGCTAGGTAAGGAGGCGAAATCAATAGAAGAGGCTGTGAAGTTACATCGATTGAGATCGTTAGGACATGTGTTACGCATGTTTAGACATCACCTTCCCCGACAACAGGTAATGTTAGCTGACGTAGGAGGTCAGGTTGGAAAAGACAGTGGTGGTCAAACCAAAACATGACCTCATCAGTCAATGAAATCCCCAACAGTTAGTTTAAAGCACGTAGGGAGGTGTAGACTTCCAGGTTGGGGTCCTCGGGATGGTAAAAACCAATGGCTGGAAACAATTGGTGATATGGCTCAAAATCGTTCTCAATGGCGCATATGCATCCACTCCTTGTGAGATCTTCCATATTACTATTCTTTTTGCCTCATATCTCTGTTTACTGTCTCTATTTTGCATTTCCTTTTACTTTCTTCTCTTGCTTTGTGTGCTACATGGAGTGTGGCGACTTGAACTGCTGCACATCGGTGCAAAGTTCTATGTTGAAACCAGTCAGTCATTCCCTACAAATAATGATAAGTACAAATCGTTATGAATTAAACCACTAAAAACTTAGAAACTCTTTCCTCTTTAAAATGCTCTCTTACATTTATGACTTGTGTTACAATTTTTAAAGATTCCCCTGAAAAAGTGCAAAAATTTCAGCTGGTGTCTGATAAACGAACCTACCTAGTTTTGAGGAACTCTAAAATCTTGATCTAAATAGGATGTTGGGTAAAGTTGAGTAAATGAGAAATATTTCAACGTCGAATACCAGCCGGTGTTCACTTTACACATATTCATTCCATAATAGATACTTAGACTGGGATTCTAAAAGTTGGCAAAATAAGGACAGCCATGCAGAAATGAAAGTATGAGAAAGGCTGATATTACTATAATTGTCTCCAAGAGAAACTGCTATGGTTCTAAAAGTTCAATCAAATCAGGAGAGTCAATACAGAACTGAAGGGTCAGTTATATGATTTTCAATACCTATAGAAGTTTAGGATTAGGTCCAAATTGAAAAGAAGCTTCTCAGAGACAATGTCATTCCTCGATTTTACGGTAGACCGACACTACACAAACTGAAAATTCCCGTATGACCAATCGTTTCGCTGCCAGGAACACAACATATAATCTGTCTAAAGAACTTTACAGAAAATTAAAATACCTAACAGAATCATGCGATCATTCTATCAATTCGCCAATCCAATTTTCGGTTGAAAATCAAAAACGTCCAAATGGATGACAATGAAATAATGGTGTCCTTTGATGTCACAGCATTATATACTTCAATTGGTCCAAAAATAGCAAAAGAAACTATGCGACAACTACTCTATAGCGATAAGAATACAAAAAAGCAATGTTCGGCTTGGATGAAACTCTTAGAATCAAGTCGTACAACATACTTCCAATTTAATAATCAAATATACAAACAGATAAAAGGAACACCAACAGGATCGCCCATATCAGGATTAATAGCTGAAGTCGTTATGCAAAGATTAGAATTAACAGCCTTACCTACAATTAAACCATAAATCTGGGTACGTTACATTGATAATACATTTGTAATAATTAAAAGAAATGATTTGGAATATACCCACAAATCCATAAAGCACAACAACGCAAATATCAACGCACACAGACTAAATACTCAACTATAATAGCAATAAGCCAATTACTCACAAAAGAAACTATGTCCAGACATAGTTTAAAAGAGTTTAAACACACTGTAGCAGTCCCCAGTTGAAGAGAATGGAGGAAAAATACCCACTAACCGTCTTCAAAAAGAAGGGTTATCCTCACAATTTCATCAAAAAGTGTTCAAACTCGAGTCATAACACCAACAACAAGCCAACATCAAAGTTCACACGAAAATTCATCCTACCATACATATAAAATATCTCCAGAATAATCACTACAATATTAAGACCATTTGAAATAGATATAGCAAACAAGCCGACACAATCACTTCATTCGATATGGTGTAAACCAAAATTCCAACAGAAAAAGAAGATAAAATTAATACCATTTACAAAATAAACTGTATGATGAACTGCAATAAACATTACATCGGTCAAAGTGGGCGTCTCCTTCGAATCCGAATCCAAGAACACAAATTGGCTGTAAAAAGACATGATATATATTCTTTCGTATCAATGCATATGGATAATAATGGACTCCAATTTGATTGAGATGATGTAGAAATTTTAAATATAGTAAACATCAAAAATGCAATAAGGGAATTTCTAGAGGTCTGGTACTCAAGTGAATTCACAATTAACAAAGATTGTTATAGGCCAAATTTACCAGCTAATAAAAAGTAAATCACATGACAGGAAAGTTTAAATTCCAAGTCAATAAAAATGATCAATATAGACGCAAATTAACATCCAGTCACGATAGTGGTTGCCAGGAGATACAATTACATGATTCATGGAGAATCTAATTTTATAACAAAACCTGCACTGAAGATGTTGTCTAGAAGGACGATGGAAGCTTCACAATCAAATCAACCAGCTCAGAGAATACAAGTAATTCAATGTCATTCCAGACTTCAAATTTGTCAACGCTTCGCTTCGCAATCACACAGTATTACCGAGGTTAGGCTACGGCAACATACATGTGTGGCATTTATATCAATATCTACACTAATTCAGCTCAGTTACGAATTACAGTTTCATTTGTATGAACAAATAAATGTACTTATTCAAGTATTGGTTTGTAGGGATTTGACTGACTGATTACAGGATTGCATGATGAGCTGACATAGGTTAGAGAACCATTAGAAAACCTGTGAGTACTGGACAGCTGTCTTGTCAGCCTGGTTTGGGACTCTTTATCAGCACGCACTCACCGGGGTTGAAAACCAGGACCTTCTGATTACAAGGCAAGCTAGCTCGTAGAACATTAAGCCACTGGGAACCAATCCAATGACCAGGCCGGGTGTGAGGACAAATACTCGCCAAAGCCATTGTGCTAGCAGTTGCGCCATGTCGTGAATCGGCAGAAGTTGGAATTCATGGGCTGGCCACTGGATAGGGTGGGTCCCAGTGGCTTAATGGTCTACGAGCTAGCTCGCCTTGTAATCAGAAGGTGCTGGGTTCGAACCCCGCAATGTGGGTGCGTACTGATGAACAGTCCCAAAACTAGGACGAAACAGCTGTCCAGTATTCCCTGCAGGTTTTCCAATGGTTCTCTAACCGATGTCAGCTCATGATGGAATCCTGTAACTAAATGTACTTAGTAACTCATACTGAAAAAGTTTAAAAGTGTATAACTATGTTGTATTGTGACTTGAATAAATCATCAAATGAACTCATGTGGATAACATCATGTATACAATAGTGCAAAGTGTATCTTTATATGATTATAAGAATACTCTGAGAAATAGGAAAAACATCCACAAATACCATCTTATACAAATAAAAAGTAATTGTAAATTAATCGTAAAACAGTATTTAACTGACCTCCATTCAATTGCTTGGGGTAATGAACGAAAACTTTGAGGACGACTACGTAGAAAGGCTGTCATACCTCGTAAAGAGCTCAAAGCGGTGCCTAAGCAAAAAACGATAAAGTATAATCACATTTAATACACAGGAGACTTCCATATTTAATGGTTATTTGAAAATATTTTCTATAGTTTGGTTTGTAAGGGTTTGTTATGTTTTTACGAGTTGATCACGGACTGATATCAGTTAGAGAACCATTGAAAACCAGGGATGAAACAGCAGCTGTCCAGTACTCCCTGGTTTTCAATGGTTCTCTAACTGATATCAGTCCGTGATCAACTCGTAAAAACATAACAAACCCTTACAAACCAAACTATAGAAAATTAATCTGATGCTCGCTAGTGACTTGCTACAGGATGGAGTTTCCTGGAGTTCTAGTGAGAAGTCGTGACCAGTGAGGTCCAATTAGATGTCACGTGTGTGGATGGATGTCCCACCAACGACAATGGTTGGGGTCGCGCTAAATCACGAATTGGTGGAAGTTAGAATTCATGAGCCATTGAATCGGGTCCCAGTGGCTGAATGGTATACGAGCTTGCCTTGTAACCGGAAGGTCCTGGGTTCGAATCTCAGTGGGTGCGTACTGCCGATGATTCCCAAACTAGGATGAAACAGCAGCTGTCCAGTACTCCCTGGTTTTCAATGGTTCTCTAACTGATATCAGTCCGTGATCAACTCGTAATTGAAAATACTAAAAACTATGTAACACCTAAGTCGTTTGGCTCTTAAATCTCAGTGCACATATAAGTTTAAAGATATTTAATAAGTGAGTCGGCGAAAAAAAAGATTAGAGTATATATAAATAGAAACCTCATTATAAAACAATAATGACATCAACGACAAATGCAATTCAACAAATTGTAATAGACACAGACACAGAATACTTAACGTGGCGGATAAAGAGAACTACACATTCACTACAGTTGCACACCAATAAAATTACAGCCTAAATTAGATATTTGCTTTCAACTTCCGGCTGAGATTCAAATTTGAAACCAGGAAAAGTAGTAGGATCTGTTTGTTTGTTTTACTTTATGCGTGTTTCAAAGAATAGCAGTGAGAAATTACTGATTAGATTAAGAAGTTACTAGCGACTTTATAGGAATCCAAAATGGCAATATCATACTAGAGTAAATCATCAGTTGCCCTGCAGTTTACAAAAGATGGATAACTAGCGCAAGAAATCAGCTTGACTGTCATAGTATTCAAGGTTTAAAAGTTGTACGATGACTAAGTGATGCTTGTGTTTTAGGTTACAACGAGATTGCATGTATATCAAATTTGTACTCTTTGACAGAATCTGGAACACAGATTAAATTACAGGTATTTGATACTTGATATATTCTGCAACCAATTAATTTCGGCGATTGAGACACATTGTGATTATACCTAACCATAAGGGGAATGCTCAGAAAGTATGTTCATTTTAATGTAGACGTACTGATGGATGTGAATCCACCACTGGAGTTGACTTACCGTCAGAGGAAAAGCTGACCAACTTAACTTATTCAGAAGATATAATTCTCTTAGGTGAGGATACTGAGAAAACGCAATCTTTCAAGTTACCTAAGCAAAACCGTGAACACGTTTGGTATACATTTTGTCTTTTATAAATGTAAGAGGAGTGCCGCTATGCAGCAATTTCCAGTTTAAGTCTAGGAAGAGAGGTGAAATGGTAGTTTTTGGTTAACCACCGGCGGAAGGACTTCCATTCAACTGCTCAAACAACAGTAAACACAGTGGTAGATGATACATGTGTCAATAAATGAGGCTGTGAAGCTTTACCGATTAAGGTTCCTGGGAGACGTGTTATGAATGCTGGATCACCGCCTTCCTTGACAAACAGTCTCAAGATTTGAACAAAGTAAGAACTACAGTTTTTGCAGAATGGTAAGATCATACATCTGTTTGACAAAGCAGGGTTTGAATGATTATGAAGAAAAAGAGATTTTAAAAACTACGTATACATCACTTTAAAGGATAATGTTTTACCTTCAACAACATCAATAACAACAATACCAGCCAATGAAGGGATTGTTCGTTTACAAGCCACATGTACAGCTACGGCTCCACCCATACTAAAGTAAAAGAAAATAACTTGATTATAAAATTGTGTTACAAAAACAAAACATTCCTGAAAAATGCCACCTCACTGAAAAAATTACTCTGCTAGCACAAATAGGGATTTCTCTTTGATTCATATTATTCTCTACAATCTTTGCATAAAGTATTTCAGCTTAAAATTTGGCCACTTTTACTTCTTATCCTTTCTATGCTCAAAACCATTTTAAAATATATTCGCCATATTTGCGGAGAGACTACTAACACCTACTAGCTTTTAATAATCTCCTTTGTTAAAGGTAGTCAAAGGCCTGCAATAAAACTTTACAACACATGGAAAACGATGATAGCTTTTTCATTTAAATGAGTAGCATTGTCTAACACTTACTCAGTCTCTGAATAAATAAGCATATAAAAACTTCAAGATAGAATAGGAAAATTCTGATATATTCACTTGAACGAATGATTGGTGGGTGTCCAAATATACACTGGAAGTCTTCGTAACGACCATGAACAGTGGTAGGCGGTAGAAGCCAGAGAGATAGAAAAGGCATCGGTGGTAGATAACACCAGACATCTATCTAGACTTATTAGGAAAACCGGTTGTAAAACAACCAGTGGTAAGCGAATTAATTTCTAATAAGGAAGATGCTTTAATTACATTTCAGGATAAACGACTGGAAGGCTGGAGGGAGCACTTTGGGCAGTTTAACTGGCCTCTAACCACCCTAAATTTGCCCAGTATCCAACAACCACCTGAATAGAATGTAGATGTTGTTCCTGCAACTTTAACTGAGATTGCAAACGCTGTCTCCAATGTGAAACAAGGCAAACCAGCGGAACCTGATAGCATGAAACCGGAGGTGTTTAAGGATGGCTATGATAAGTTATTGTTTGGTCTAACTAAGGTACTGTATTAGGTAATATGTAGGAGTCCAAGATAGTCCAGTTGGACTGGTGTAAATCACTGATTATTCCAGTTTATAAGAAAAGAGATAAGCCTTCCCGTGATAATCATAGGGGGATTAGCTTAAATAACATTGTATGTAAAATCCCAATTTCAATAATCATGTGGAGATTAAACGGTGCTCGAGAGAAAAAAACGCGAGAAAACTAGGCGTGCTTTAGACCAAGAAGAGGATGTATTGATCATATCTTCACCAGCATATTTCCTGGAAAGAAAACAGTACTTGCCATATTTCTTCTGAAAGTAGCATCTGACTATGTCGACCGAGAGGTGCTGTGACAATGTCTGGCAGTGAAGACTACTGAAAAAGTAAGTTGCACTAATCAAGGCACCCTTCTCGCACCCACGCAGCTGTGTAAGAGCTCATAGGGAGTTGTCATCTGAAGTCATGACTAATAGACATACAGAATGTACTAACAGACGTGGTTCCAATCGATTATGACGACTTAGGGAATGACTTATTACCAGAGAACAGTCTTGTCGACTTTGATTGTGAGGATGATACTATTGTTTTACGTGAAGACGCTGACAAAATGGTCTTGAGCAGAAATCTTTGTATGTTTAGCAAAAGATCCACCCCTGTCAAATGTAAGATGATGTTACAACACTGGTCTGAATCGGCTCCTAGTTTATATATGAGTGGAATGGTTGAGCCCATTGACTACTTCAATTGTTTGGGAACTTGAATCAACCCTAATGAAATGATTGCCGGCGAAATTTTATCACGAATAACAAAAGCTCGTATGACAATTGCTAAATCACATTATCTCTCCAGCTATCCATCAAAGGATGTATGTGTATTGAGCAGCAGTTTAGTCTGCTCTTCTTTACGACAGAGGCGTAGCCGTTGAAAGGTGAACACCTGAAGAGTCTAGCTGACCACAGATATTTACTTCTTATTTCCCATGTTATGTAGTCTGGTCAGTCATATTGAGGTCAGACGTGGAATGTTAGATAAGGAGGGTAAGTCGATCGATCAGGTTGTGAAGCTGCATCGATTGAGACTGCTAGGACACGTGTTACGAATGACTTTCCCAACAAACAATGTTAGATGGTAGACAATTAGGTTGCAAAAGAGTGAGGAGTGGTCTAATCAAAACCAGGTTTCAATCTACAAAGCCTTTTACTGATGGTGTGAACCACATAGGGAGATGTTGGCTGCTTATCTGGGGTACTCAAGACTCTAAGAACCAAGGCTGATGACTATTGCTGACGTGAATTAAAATCGTTTTCAATGGGACAGATGCATTCACTCTTTGTGAACTCCCAGACCCATCAAATTCTAATTGTTCCCCATGGACTCAATTTTAGCACTAGCGTAATGAACACATGGAGACCGGATGGACATAAAGTGGAAAGTTGGGGTTCTACTTCACCAAATTATATATCGGTTTCAGCTCAGTGATGAATTGTCTTGCACAATTACTGGACCAAAAATAGGTTTTTATCACTGATATTTGGCTATACGGTCAATCATACTGTTTCCATGTAGAGGCCTTATTTTTTTAGTCATTCAAAAAAATACAGGCAGTATACGATAATATGTTAAAACGAAAATAATTCATTTAGAAAATTTTCATTCATTTACGTTCCCAGTGAAACATAGGGCTTCAAGCTAGAGGCTTGAAGTTTCGGTAGCAGTGGTGTTTATTTTTACGGGATGGGGTTGCTAGCCTCATGCCCAACCTTCCGTCTTCATCAACTTAGAAAGGTAAATGAGTGCGTCGGCCGGAGAGTGAACCCCAAACCACCTGCGTGGTTGGCGAGCATTCTACCGCTGTGCCATCGACAATTTTGAAAATGAAACCTCAAAAACACCATTGCCTAATCCAAGGGGAAGATCCAGACAAACAGAAATTTATTTGATGAAAGCTGAAATTCTGAAAGATAGCTGCCACTTGGCATGGTAATCAGGACTATATATTGTAATAACCCAACAACATACACTGGCTTGACGGAGGGACTATGCACAAACGTCAGATGGATAGCGACTGGACCAAAAGTAGTTACCATCATAGTGTATTTGCCTGCACTATCAAAAGAGTATGAGGGCGAAGTCATACGGTCACAGAGAAAGATGTATGGTAGAGGTATGATGTTTCCATAACATGACCAGCAAAATCACTACATTAAACGAGAGCTCAAAGGAGACCAGTTCGAAAATTGTACATACTAACTTACTGAGCAACAAAAACAGGAGTTGAATACAAGCTACAATACACTCAACAAAAGAATAAAGAGAAGTGTCAGGGAAGACAAAAGACAACATTATGAAGCTATGGCAAGTGAAGCAGAACAAGCTGCAGGCAAAGGAGACCTCGCAACACTCTACCAAACAACTAGGTTCCTATCGGGGAAGAGATCAACACAAATTAAGCCAGTGAAGGATGACAATGGAAAGTCAATCACCAAAGAGGTGGGGCAAAAGAAACACTGGGCTGAACACTTCAAAAGACTTCTTAATCGACCACCACTTACAATGTGGCCAATAATACCAACAGCGGAAGCAGAACTACCAGTGGATACCAACCCTCCAACGAAAGCAGTAATCCTGAAGGCCATAAAATGCTATAAACTGGAAAAGCAGTAGTACCAAACGGAATCCCTGCAGAAGCATTGAAAATGGACCAAGAGACATCAGCCGACCTGATGACACCACTACTGTGGAAGGTGTGGAAAGAAGGCAAGGTACCTGAGGATTGGAAGAAAAGCTACTTCTTATTCAAACTACCGAAGAAAGGAGACTTAAGTCAATGCAAGAATTGGCGCGGCATTATGCTTCTGTCTATCCCAAGCAAAATACTAGGCCGTATCATCCTGGAGAGAATCAAACACGCCCTGGATGAAAAACTTCAAACCGAAAAGGCTGGATTCAGGAGAAGCAAGTCATGTATCGATCAAACCGCAACACTACGAATCATCATTGAACAGAGCTTGGAATGGCAGCCAGTTCTCTACCTTAATTTCATCAAGTTTGATGAAAAGGCCTACGAAAGCGTCGATCGAGAGGGGATTTGGAAACTACTTCACTACTACGGGGTGTCAATAACAATTATACACCTCATCCAGCAGCTGTACGATAATGCTGCTTACCAAGTAATCCACAATGGCAAACTCACGGAATCCCTCGAAGTGAAGACGGGAGTACGACAAGGCTGCCTACTATCTCCAATGATTTTCCTGATTGCGGTGGACTGGATAATGCGACAGACAGTGGGCAACGAGGAGACAAGCATAAAATGGAACCACACAAAAACTTGGAGGATCTGGGCTACGCCAATGATATGTCTTATTTCCCACAAACTGGAAGATATGCAAGTGAAAAGCAACAAGTTGACAGAGGAAGCATCAAAGATAGGCCTTCAGGTGAACATTGAGAAAACAAAGTTGATGAAGATTCCTGGCCAGCAGCAACAGCAACAACGACAGACAACAGTCAGTATAAATGGGAGAAATCTGAAAGAAGCAACACCCTTCGCCTAGCCGGGAAGCATCATTTCAATTACAGGAGGAACTGATGAAAATATCGAGGCAAGGATCGGGAAAGCAAGGCAAGTCTTTATTACTCTCAAGTCTGTGTGGAGATCAACAGCACTCACCATTAAAAATAAGATCCAGATTTTCAACTCCAATGTGGTCAGTGCTACTTACTACACGAATCAGAGACTTGGTGCGTCATGAAGAGCACCTCAAACAAACTACAGACCTTCATCAACAGCTGTCTTTGCTCAATAATACTACCCAAGATCAGATGGCTAGAATGTATCAGCAACAGGGAGGGATCTCTGTGAGCGAACCAACCCAGCAAGAACCAGTTGTGTAACAAATATGCAGGAATAAATGGAGGTGGGTTGGCCATATACTGAGAAATCAAACCATCAAGTGACATCACACGCCAGGCCATTGCTCGACTGGAATGTGAATGGGGAACGGTAAGTTGGTCGTCCTAGGATGACATGGAAGAAGTCATGCAAAGAGGAGATGAAAGCATGTTATCTTTATTTACCAAAAGTAGCAATGACTTAGGATTTGCGAACATCATTTCTGCTTTCTAAAAGAAGCTGGCTGGCTGGATTCAACATAGAACTTGGCACCGAAGTGCAGCAGTTCGAGTTGCCACGTTCCAAATAGCACACAAAGGTAGACAAGAAAATGAGTGAAGAGAATCAATGGGGTTTTGACAAGTATAAGAGTGAAACAGAATGACCCAACAAGCTATACTGGCTGGGATTTATGTTCCTGTAGGTCCTACCATGCCAGAAAGCGGTTAGACAAAAAGCAGTTACCCAACACAATCCTATGACTCAAAATAAGTCACAAAATATCATGCCGGATCGGTCGGGGCCCGGATTAACAACGACCGCGCTTCCTGCTGCCGTGTCACAGGGAAGAAGTGATAAATGTGGTACTGAGACACACCAAATGAAAAACAACAAACAAAAACAGGCCGTGTGTGACCGGCCTCAAGCAGTTGTCCCCTGGGCTCTGCGGTCACGCAACCAACTTCCACGGTGTGGGCAGCCGGGAAGTAACAATCGCCCTCACAATCCGAAGTGCACGCGAAACCTCTCTAATCCTCACTCATCTTTGTCTTCATCTTCCTTCTACTAATGCAACTCCTCTACTTAATGGCTCTTCACTTCCTCTTCACTCTGTGTGCACTGAAAACGACGGAAGCCAAAAAACCACCATCTGAAAGAAGCACAATACTAATTCCTAATTTCTGTTTTTGAGTCAAGTCAGACAACAGGTCTTATCAAGGAAAACTGACATTAGAAGCTACAAATGTGTATTGTATCACTTAATCCTACCTGGTTAAAATGTTGGATCTGCAATATTCATCTGAATACTGTTAGGTGATTTTATGACTTTTGTGTACTTAATGGTGTGAGGATAGCACTAATGTCTACAGCACACAACCCATTGTCCCACTAGCTCTTGGGGAGCATTGAGTTAAGTGCACTCCAACTGAAGAATAAGAAACGCACTTCTATGCCTACTGACTGCAGCTAGTACGAAGTAAAGGCTGAACTTAATCAGAGGCTATCCAATTTGATAAATACAATAAAACACTCCACTGCAGTCAGATTAGCAAATGATTTTAATACTCAGTTACGGAAGTTAAACTACTCGTAATATTATCACAGACGAGTCCAACACCTAACTACATGTGAAGAAAATATGATATAGAGACAGCAAAAGTCACTCATCATGCCACATGATTTGTCGTTTATTCCGCGCATGAACTAACCGTCACAATACTCTTCTGAATGAACTGAAGGTACTTAGTCTTCAAACATAACAGAAACTGAGATGAAGTAGAAAAGACTAAATATGCTTAAAGCTTAATTAGACAGAAAAAGTGAGAACCATAGTAAGTCAAAATGAGGATATGAATTACTAATATGGAATTACTAATCCTAACAAGCTACCGAAGTAAAAACAGTTGTGGTAACGAGTTTTATGCACTGAACAAAATCACCTACCTATGACCAACAAGGATTATTGGTGGGGCCTCCATGGGGTACATAGCAAAAATGATTTTAATGATGTCCCTTAAGATAAGTATATAACAATAAAAGACGGTACTTTGACAATGTATCGACAGAAAAATCATCATCATTTGAGCACTTCGTATCACCATGTCCCCTCATATCAACTGCCAAACACTGACATTTTACTTGCTCAGTTATAAGGACCTAAAAGAGGAAAATGATTAAATACTGAAAATAATTACACTCAAAACGGCCCATGTTAGTGCTGAAAATCCACCACCATGCAAGAAAAATAACAGAGGGCCCTCAACACCTCGTCGATAGATGCGAAATGTCTGAGAATACAATGAAGTCGAAAAAACAGTCTTACTCCACCTTCAAGTTCTATGTCATCTCGTATATTAAAGTATTCACTCCACTTCACAGGATCAAAAGATACATTCTCTTGATTACTAAAGAAGAAGAAAAAACAGAGTTTTTAGATTTTGATGGTTGAACATGTACTCCTTGATATTTTAAGCATCATAAGTTTGATGGAGTTTGTCGTTCACACATTTAGCCAGGGCTTACCTTGACATTTTGTAAATCCCGCTACAGAGTGACAACAGAAAACTTAGGTGATTAAATTCAGAAATCGTATATAAATTATGATGACCAAATATTTATTAATGAGAAATTTGCGTCATGAAGGCACATCTTGTTTTAAAGGTTAGCTTTTTGGAAACCAAACAACTTTTGTATTAGTTGTCGCGCAGATGTTCGCAGCACGTATTGCTTTAGGTTTCCTTCCAACATCATTTGCACGAACAAGAGATCGTTTTGTTTCGAATTCTATTCGTTATTCATCTACCTTCAAGGTATTGTAAAATTAAAACTACAGTCTACTATTTAGTATTCCGATCTGATTACTAATACTACTACAAACAGAAAGCCAATTCCCGAAAATCCACCAAAGTTTGGATCCAGTTTCACAGATCACATGCTGTTTATTAACTGGAATAAGGATTCAGGCTGGTCCCCTCCTGAAATATGTGAATGTAAAGAGTTTCCTATTCACCCTGGTTCCAAGGTTCTGCACTATTCCATTGAAGTAAATACTAATGCAATAATGTTAGTTTCAAGGCTTTTGAAGGTATGAAGGCTATGCTCTCAAAAGATGGAAAGCTGAAAATGTTTCGTCCTGACAAGCACTGTAATCGTCTGCTCGACTCCACTAAGGCTCTATGTCTTCCAGTAAGATAAGCAACAAAAACAGTAATCTCTACAGGAATTCGATCCTGGGGAGTTACTCAAGTGCATGAAAGCACTGTTAAGGATAGATCAGTCATGGGCTCCAAAAGGCATAGGGACTGCACTTTATATGCGACCATTAATAATTGGGACTGAGGTATGTTACAGTACTTATTTAACCAATTTCAATTTAAAGCCATCAATCCAACTGGATATAAGCTCAGAAGCCAAGCTGATAGTAATGCTTTCTCCCGTTGGTGAATATTATGCTGGGGAAAAGAAGGGAATTTCATTGTATGCTGATCCTGAATTTGTTCGTTCTTGGCCTGGTGGGTATGGAGCTTATAAAGTTGGTTCGTAAGTGCATAAGTATTGTAATACCTGCTATTTTATCACCTAGTCTTTTCGGAATTGCCACTTAAACTTTCGGAGCGTTTTAGTTTATGAGTGTTATAAGGCATAAACTTATCTTAATTGTTTGGAAACATGATCAAATATCCAGTGTGCAAGGTTTGATCAAGTAGTTCCAAAATATTTCAACTTCACAGAGATTATTTTAATATAATTCTTACATATTTTTAGCAGTATTCTGCTCTAATCAGGGTTGACTTAACTTACTACTGTTGTCTACTAATGTAAAAACTTTTGATCAGACTGTTGCTTCAGCTACTTTTAGTTACGTATGTAGGATTGTTTGGTTGCAATTTTTGCGGTTTTAAGCCATATATAAAAACATTTGTGATAGCTCAGTTTCATCATTTATACCTCATTATTTGCTTTTTCATGGAGATTAAGGATGATGCTATACTGGATACATATTGCATTTCCGTCCATTCAGTCATTTTAAATATTTACCTAATAATAGATTAAATTCTTTAAAATCTATCGCAGGCATTTCCGTCTCCCATTCAGAGATGATTTTATAGAAAACCATTTGATAAACAGTTTAGTCTAAGATTTATTACTTTAGTAATCATGAAATCTTGCATTTATATGTTCTTATATGTAACATAAACTACGTGACAGTAATTTCTGATGCGTTTACATTCAGAGTTTTGAATTTTCTGATTCCACTGGATAAAATTAATAGTGTCACAAATGAATTCATTCCCAGATAATTTCAAGATCTCCAGGAAATTAAGAAGGCTCACTCGTTTGTAATCTATGTTCATGTACTCACTTAAATGTATTAATATTCTTCTTTTCCTTTATATCTCGTCCTTCAAAGATTTAATCAAGTGTAGAGCACTTGGTAAATAGACCCTTATAGGTGATTTTAGCTCACTTTCATTTATCGTCCGTCCAGCAAGCGAGACTAAAGTGAATATACACATATATATCCTGAATCTGTCCTTCTTCTTCTTGAGCAATATGTTTTTACAGGATTATAAAACCACTTCACGTTTTATCTTCAATACATCTCAAAATAGCAAAATACTGGCCTGTTTTTAGTGAAATGAAGGGTATAAAATGGACCTTAGCGATCACTTTCTCTGTTATCTTTTGCATAGAATTTAATGGAAATAGCAATAAATATAAGGAGCAGTGGTATGCATAGGTGAAGAAATAAAATTACAGTATATAGGGAAACTCAAAAAGCTTAATTTCATGGCGAGTGTCGCTCAAGAGCCCTGAGAATATATACATCGAACTATTATTCCGAAATAAAGCTTCCTTTATCTAACCCAGCATGTATGTACTCACGAAAAGATGGATGGAAATCCTTCATTTTTATAATAATAACGAACCAGTATCATACGAATGAACTACTGAAACTCATGAAGGATAAGACAGCTGCCTTCAGCTTGCAAAGCAATAACATGATCTTTTTGGTTTAAGGGTCAGTATTTAAGATCTCTGGATAGGGTGGTACTGTCATCTGACGTTATCCATAACAGTCCACTGTCACTTCCGGATAGGCAGGTGCCAGTAGTCCACACTAAATCAGATTAGCCCCAATCTCAACCACCCATTTTAATCAATATTGTCACAGCTTATAATTATTTATTTGAGTAAAAGATTCTAGTGCTATACACGTCAAGCTACTGTGTACTACGTTTCTGAGCTGGAATTTTATATTAGACATTGTTCATCCCTTCTATGTTTACGACAGAACAAAGTATTCTGCTCTGATATCTTACTGTCATAAAACCTTCCAGATTCTATTATAAATCAGTTCTTAAAAACGTTTAATATGATTACATGAATTTTATAGCGAAACGGTGTCCTACAATGGTAAATTAATGTATTTGAAATAATAAAAAAAGTTCTAATCATCTTCAGAAAATGACTATTATAAGTTAACTGTTTATTTGATATGTAGAAATTATGGACCAACGCTTAGAGTTCAGAATATAGCCAAGGAAAAAGGATGTGAAAACAATCTCTGGCTTTGTGGTGCAGAAGAGAATATTGCAGAAGCTGGAACAATGAATATTTTTATTTACTGGACTGATGAGGCTGGAAGTGAGTTTGATTCACTTTTAAATAAACTTTATGCTATGTGTATTCACTGATTAATTCATGTTGATTCGTCGATATGATCAATTCAAAATGCATTTCATTTGTATTCTGTTTTTTTTTGCTTCTGAATAGGAAATATTTTGTCTACACCGAGGTTAAGCGGGATACTTTTACCAGGAGTCACACGCTTGAGTATTTTGGAATTAGCAAGAGCTTCAGTAAGTAACTTTCGCTTTAAGCAATAAAAAAAATGAATATATGAACTAATAATGATAATTTACTATTAACATCTTAGACTGGTTTTAATGTCATCCTTTCAAAATGAATTATTTTTTTGGTTAAGATAATGCTTCTTTGAGTACAACAGCTTGTTGAAAGAAATAATCTGAACCTTCTCAGTCATTTTATTTGCTAAAAAGAAATTTCCAAAATTCACTCTGTAAAATTATGTGGAGATAATTCAGAGGTATGCTTTAAAGTACGTAAAGTCATTGAATGATTTGTAACCAATACCAAGTTGACATGTGAAAAAATTCTATTAGGACATTAATAATGTGGAGAAGTTTTCTGTATGTAACTGAGTTCTGTTGAATATATTTTTTATATTATTATTATTCCCTTGCGTTTCAAGTGGAACATAGGGCTTCAACAACACATCCACTTTGTTCTGTTTTCTGCTCTCCTGGTCATCTGGGTCCACGATTGACCAAACTCTCATCTCTCCTTCCAACTCACACGATCTCCTCCATGTCACCCTCTCACCGATAACCCAATGGTCACTTCCCATTTGGAATCCACTTGAGGGCCTGGCATGCGATGTCATTCGGTGGTCTCCTCAATGTATGCCCAATCCATCTCCACTTTCTCCTACATATTTGTCGAGCAACCGGATCTTGGTTGGTTTGTTCGCATAGTTTCTTATTGCTTATTCTTTCTGGCCATTTGATCTTCACTATGGAGTCAGCCAGCGAAGCAGGCAGCTGTTGATGAAAGTCTGCAACAGGCTGTTGGAAATCCTTTCTGTGACACACTGGCCAAGTTTCTGAGCCGTATAGAAGAACCGACTTCACATTGGTGTTGAAAATGCGAATCCTGGTCCTTATATTGAGTGCGGGAGACTTCCAAACTGGTTTCAGGTTGATGAAGGCGTATATTGCTTGTCTTTCCGATTCTGGCTGGCTCTGACATCTTCGTCCGTTCCGCCTGTAGTTGAAACGATGCTACCTGGCCAGATAATTGAAAGAGGCAACCTCTGTTTAATCTCCCTCATTGATGGTGATTGGTGTTGGCTGTTGTTGTTGCTGTTTTTTGGTTATCTTCATCACCTCCATCTTCTCTGCGTTCACCTGCAGTCCTGTTTTAGCTGCCCGCCTCTTCAGCCAGTTTGTTGGTTTTCACCAGAAAGTCTTCGAGTTTGTGTGACACTAGACATATATCATCTGCGAAATCCAGATCTTCTAGAGTCTTCTTACTGGTCGTTCAGCGCATTTGTGTCTCCTCGCCCCCAACACTCTGACGCATAATCCAGGCCACCACAATTAAGAATAACATCGGTGATAATAGGCAGCCAGCCTTGTCTTACTCCTCCCTGCGTTTTCGGTTGTGGATAACTTGGCACGTGGCATTGTCATATAGCTGTTGAATGAGGTCTATAAAGACTTGATCACTGCACGCCATAGTGTTGAAGGAGTTTCCAAATTACTTATCGGTCAACGCTATCTGTCAAAGGCCTTTTCAAAGTCGATGAAGTTGAGGTGGAGGTTTGACTACCATTCTATGCTTTGTTCGATGACGATGCGTAGAGTTGCAATTTGATCAGCACATAATTCACCTTTCTTGAATCCAGCTTGTTCCAGTTGGCGGAGTTCTGTATCCAGTGCATTCTTTATTCTCGCCAGGATAATGCTAATCAGTACTTTTCTTGGCGTGGACAAGAGCATTATTCCACGCCAGTTCTTGCACAGGCCTAAGTCGCCCTCCTTTGGCAGTTTGACGAGATAGCCCATCTTCCAATCAGTAAGCACATTTCCCTCTTTCCAAACGTTTTGCAGTAGCAGAGTGAGAACACCTGACGTATCCTCTAAAGCCGTCTTCAGTGCTTCTGGAGGAATGCCGTCTCGTCCTGCTGTCCTCTCGGACTTCAGTAGCGTGATCTCATTCAGGATTTCTTTCGCTGGAGGAGTGGTTCCAACTGGCATTTCCATGTGTGCTGTTGGTGGTATTTCTGGGGAGTTTTAAGTGACGGTCGATTCAAGAGTCCTTTAAAGTGATCAGCCCACTGTTTGATTTGTTTCTCCTCCTTGGTGATCTGGTTCTCTTCACCATCTCTTATTGATTTCATCATCTGGGTTGATCTCTTCCCGGGTAGAGACTTGGTTATCTGATATAGTGTCCCGATGTCTCTTGTGCCTACAGCCTGTTCTGCTTCAGTTGCCGACCAGTGTGTCGAAGGATTGTTGTATGTCTTTTCTAAAACTCTTCTTCACTACTTTATTCAGTGCAGTGTACATTGAACTCAACTTCCCTTTCTGTTGTCCATCATTACATTGAGTCATCTCTTTCACCACCCTCCTCTCCTCGATTAGCCTCCAGGTATCCGTTGACAGCCTTTGAATATATTAAAGCCGTGATATCATCTTATTGCATGCAATTCACTTACCAATCATTTATAAAACGTATTACCTAAAGAATCCTAGAAATTTATCGGTCAGTCTTTCTATCCACAGTCAAATCTATCTAAAGACGATAGCAGTTCTCTGTTGACGATATTCTAGGAACGGTTGATTTATGTTGACGTTAGCACTTTATTTTTGTATTAGGGCGCTAAATTTTCACCCAATAATCACGTTTCAATACAGTTATAATGAAATTGGAAAGCCTTATTTATATTTAATATTTAGACTGAGATTCGACCTTCCTGAACAATCCTATACAACATCTAAATCACTTGCAGATGATTCCTCGATTTCGATAATTGCATAATACTTATATTTCAATCTGGCATTTTTTTATGAACGTCTCGAAAGCAACTATTTATTCATAGAACCTAGAAGCTTTATGATGCCAAGGCAGCGTTCGATAATGATATTTCGTTGATCAGAGACATTTATCGATTACTAGAACATTTAATAATAATAATAATCTACTTTATTCCCAAAACGGTACTTATAATACAGAATGGAGTTCTCAGCATTTGTCACAATATTGCATCTGATTTACTTAGGATGTAAATAAAATTGAAAATTAAAACAAAAGTAACCAGAGGAATTTGTCCACGTTTACGATATAAAGTCAAAAATATTCGAAGCACGAATTGAGAGTATTGAATATAATAATTATAATAATAATAACAGTGGATGCACTTTCTTCCATCAAACAAGTAACATCTGACTTAAAAGTGTGCTTACTTTGAATGACATCACATGGGAAATGACAATATATAACCATATCTCCCTTATTAAGTATTGATAAAAAAACAGCCAACTCATTTCTGACCAAGAACTTGAACTTAGGACAAAAGTGCCACTTGAGGACATAATGCTGGGAGTACAGCTATGCCTGACTTCCACAGTATTTAAATTTCAACGGAAAATACACAAACAAACTGAAGGAGTTGCCATGGGATCATCAATATCCCCAGTTGTAGCATATATATTCATGGATAAGTGGGAAAGCATATCGATTGAAACGTTCACCCCCACCCCAAAAGTATGGTGGAGGTATGTAGGTGACACATTCACTGTACTGAGAACACAAGATATAGATAGGTTTTTCGAACACATCAACTCGAAGGTTGAAGCAATTCAATTCACTTATGAATCGGAAAATCAGGAAGGAGAGCTCCCAATGTTAGATTGCAACGTAAAGAGGAAAGAAGATGGGAAGTTAAACGCTAGTGTTTACAAGAAACCCACACACTCAAACAAACATTTAGACTTCCGATCGTCCCATCCTATGTCAGTAAAAATAGGATTGGTGAAATGTTTAAATGACAAAGCACAAAAATTAAGTAGTACCAAAGAAAATCTAAAACAGGAACTGATACACATAAAAGAAGCTTTGAAACTTAATAATTACCCGGATAAATTAGTCAAGAAATATGTAAGGAAATTTTAAAAATAAAATAAATAATGATAGTAGAGATAGTGATAATAACAATAATAATGATAATAATAATAGTGATAATAATAATAATATTAATGACGACACCAATAATAAGAAATCTAAATCATCAGTAGTAATTCCATACAAGGAAGGAACCTCGGAAGCCTTACGCAGAATTCTTAACAAGGCAGGAATAAAAATGGCATTCGAACCCACAAACTCAATTAGAAACAAGCTTTGTCGGTTTTAAGGATCCTGTAGAGCCTTTAAGACAAAACAATTTAGTTTATCTCATACCCTGCAATGATTGTGAGGTCAAATACATAGGTCAAACTAGTAGAACAGGGGCAGACAGACTAGCTGAACATAAAAACTTAGCAAAATCTAGATTGGTTGACCCGAATAAGATAAGAAATCTAGAGAATAGTTCAGCTATAGCACTACATGCAGTCACACACAACCATACAATAAGATAAATGTGATAAGATGACAGTTTTAAAATCTAATGTCACAGGGTGGAAGGAGGGAGAGATTGATAACAGAAGCTTTGTTTATCGAATCAACTACAAATACATGTAATAGGAATGATTCATCACATGTCGCCGATATCTGGAAAATTCTACTACCCATACGACAAATAGGAGAAAAAAACAAAGAAAGCTATAAAACTCAAGTGTCAAAGTCGTGTGATCACAATTGATATGATTATGAACCGCAATAAATTTTGTTCGAAACGTCATCCAGTAAATAATACTGTTTCACTGTATGATATATCTAATAAACAAACTAATATGGAAACAGCCATGTTATCAATATATCTGTAGAAGTGATTGAATAATAAGAAGAAGAACTCTTATTTTTCCCAATCACAGTGTATCAGTATATATTAATTATATTATATTGAAACAAAATTGATAGAATTTTCTTTTTGACATTCAATTAAGGATAAACTTAGAGTTGAAGAAAGAAGAATCACTATAAAAGAAGTTATCAGAGCAATTGAAGAGAAACGAATGCTTGGCATGTTTGGAACAGGAACAGCCTGTTTTATTATGCCTATAAATAGTATCCTTTACAGGGATAAGCATTATGAGATACCAAATAATGCATGTGAAAGAGGACTAGTTAACTGGCTTAGAAGAAAAATGACAGATATACATGTGAGTTGTATGAATTATTAAAAATGAACTGAATTTATACTACTTTACCACCTTGTTTTTGATGTGCCTTAAAAGCTCTTACATATAAGATAACATTGACTGTTTCTATTGAGTAAATGCTTATTTTATAATTTCACATAAAGAGGGAAGTTTAACAATACTGAATGAAGAGAGTGGTGATGACTAAGATCGCCGGTAACCATCAGTTTTATCGTCTAGTGGAATATACCTGTGTACAGTGGTACTGGAGCGCTGGCCATATCCCGTTTTCGTCTACTTTCCAGGCAGTAATATCTTATTTGTACAGATTATAAAATAGCGGTTTGCCTAAACAGCTGAAGGAAACTCGAGCATAAACGTATTACTGGTTTATCAAGTTTATTGTCTTTGTAGCGTTCTTGTTTTCCTATATTTAAAAACAATACCTTTCTGATGTTATCTTACACGATGTCTTCGATTTATTCTCCTAATGCTTCTAAGAAATGTATCTACAGATAGGCAGAAATCCTTTGAAATCAATCAGATACTCTTAGGAAGAGTTTTATTTTCATCTGGTAATATTCCACTGTGTGAGCCATAAGGCTTGAATTAACGAGACGACAGTTAGGTAGCTGATGGCCAGTTGTTAATCATATACACTACAACAGAAGTCATCATCCGTCACCTTCTGTATACAGTAATCGGTTTTTACTGAAAACTAATTGATTTCACAGTCATCGCCAATGTAGGACATGGTAGTCAAGTCTAGATTTAAACACACTCCATTCTAAACAGATGCTGATGAAATTTTTGTACAAAGCTACTCGCAAAGTGTCTGTCTACTATAGACTTTTGAAACCATGGTTACAAGATGACTACTCTAGAGGATTTGAAGTTATCGGATGATTTATGTCTATTGTCAAAAAAACTCGACGACTTACAGACTAAGGTTAACAAGTTGTTAGAAGAAGAAGGCAGGACTTCAAGTGAACGTAGAAACAACACTGGCTATAAAAATACCTAACCAATAACAAAAAGCACACGTCATTATCAAAGGAAGAATTTCGAGGAAAATTAGGTCTTTTACTTATCCAGACAGCATCATTTTAACTACAGATGGCACAGATGGGGATGTGAAAACCAGGATCGGAATAGCAAGACATATCTTCATTTCTCGAAAATCAGTCTCTAAATCTCCTCCAGTAAGCATCAAGAACAGGATTCGGTTCTTCAATACTGATCCCAAATCACTGTTTCCATGTGGTTCAGAGACCTGGTTACACAATTTAGGCATTTGTCGTTCCTTTTTTTAGGTATATTCAAAGAAATTCCCAACTACTCATCGAAAATGAAAACCTTGCACCTGATATTGGATCACATTTTATACCATCGTGATGCTGTCTGACAAAAGAAGTTAGCTGCAAAACGCTTTGTTGTTCAGGAATTTTTGCTTAACTCTTTAGAAATCCGATCTATTCGAGCTATTAACACTCAGTGTTAAAGACACAGGATTGCTCATATTACTTTGCCATATCATATTAATACTTACAACTTATAAACGGCGTGAATAACTATTAAATTCAAAATTATGCAACATCAGTAGAAGTGTTAATTTATATTTAATCAGGAGTTTATGGTATTAGATTAGCTTGAGAAGAAATCGAATTGTTGATCCACCGCTTCACATATGAACGCTTAAACTTACTGGCTAAGTTCCTGAGAAAAAATGTCTGTCTGTTTTCAACATAGAACTTTGCACATATGTGCGGTACTTCAAGTCGCCACACTCCATGTAGCACACAAAGCAAGAGAAGAAAGTAGGAGAAATGCATATTAGAGACAGTAAGCAGAGGTGTGAGACAGCGTAAACTGGCATATGCGAAACTAGCCCTCTGTATTCGTGCTGAGATTTCGTCAGAGATCAACCCGTTGGGGCTGAAGCGGTCAACGTGCTCTACCACTTCACTTCCTATTTCTAATCTAGGAGTCGGTGTAGTCCAATCCTGTAACATCATCTTGCATTTTGCGGGAGCGAAACGCATGCCAAACATTCGTAGATTGTTGCTCAAGGTGTTCAGGAGACTCTGCATTTTGTCAGCGTCCTCACCTAGAAAGACTATATCCTCTGTATATTCTAAGTCAACGAGATTATTCCCTGGTAGCAAGTCAATCCCTGAGTCGCTGAAGTGAGTTAGGGTTAAGTCTATTAGTACATCTATGATGAAGCTGAATAGAAATGGGGATAATGGGCATCCTTGACGGACGCCACTATTCGTTACCCCTTCAGATGACAACTCGCCATAAACCCTCACCTGGCTGCATGAGTACGAGTAGAGTGAGTGCCTTAATCAGTGCAATGTATTTTCTTGGCATTCCCTTTACAGTCAAGCATCGCCAGAGAAGCTCTTGGTCGACAGAATCGAATGCCGCCTTTAGGTCAAGAAATATAATGAGAAAAAATAATATTTCATTGTACGTGTTACTTACTATTTGAAGTTCACTCATTAATTTAGTATTAAACTTAAGTTTCATTCTCCCTAATATTAATCTTGAAGACTTATCTGCAACTTTAAGAAAACATTTACTCAAGAGGATTCAAAGATTTGTCCCCAAGTCAATATAAATATGTATATATATTTGTCGTTCCAACGAAACTTTTGCCAGAAACTCTATTTTCAAGTATTGGTTTTGTAGGGATTTTGTTTTACTGGTTGGAGGATTTCATCATGAGCTGACATTAGTTAGAAAACAATCGGAAAACCTGAAGGGAATATTGGACAGCTGTTTCGTCCTAGTTTGGGACTCTTCATCAGTACGCGCCTACCACCAGGTTTCGAACCCAGGACCTTCTGTTTACAAGGCAAGCTAGCTCGTTGACCATCAGGCCACTGGGACTCGACCCAATGACCAGCCCATGAAATCTAACTTCTGCCACTTCATGACATAGGGCGACCACTAGGACGAAACAGCTATCCAGTACTCCCAGGTGTTCCAATAGTCAGCTCATGATGAAATCCTCCAAATAATCAAATTAAAACTTTATGTCTAAATGTGGCATAAAATCTTAGTTTTATTTTTGTAAATGTATTACTGGAAGTATAAATTACATGCTTTAGTGTCAATTTAAATAATAATTAAAAAATGTACATTTTTCACCTCTTTCTCCCCCCCACCATCTACTCCCAATTCAGTATGGTCTGAAGGGTCCACATCCATGGATGGTGTCAATTGATGAATGAACAGGTGTAAAATGCAAGCAGATATTCACCACACAAGAAATTATTTTCATCTCGTTCAATGGAAAGACTGTTTTGAATGCCCTAAATTATTTTCCCTAAAATGATTATGATTAATCATTCATATTTTCTTTCGAACTTCCTAGAATATTTTATTTTATTTTCAAATATTGTACTAAATTCGAAATTTAAAAAAAATATTTCGAATAAGCTGACTTCTGTTTTCATATGTGATATAACTTTGATTGGTACGCTTGTATTCAAAAATTTTAAGATTTGTCCTAATTTTTATTGTCTCAGAAGAAATCCTTCAGGAGATTTATGTATATATCTGACGTGAGGTATTATTCCGTCAATCCTACGTTTAGGCTTTTTCTATTAGATTTAGCTGAAAGGGTAACACATATCCTAAGGGACTGATTACTGTTAAACTATCACACTCGTTACTCACAAATGTTTAACTAGGATGATTAACAGATTAAAATATTTTGCATTACTATTCCTATTTTTAATTACTCGAGTTCCAAGTGGAACACAGGGATTCAAGCTTTGGATTTGTGTTGATATTTCATTATGTAGGGTCTCTAGCTTCACGCCTAATCTTCGTTTTTTTTAGTCTTACTGTAACGACAGAAGGCAAGAGTCAGGCAGCAGATCATTTATTAAGGAAATCAACGCATATTTATATATGTTTTCATGTACATTACTATGGATATGTAAACAAACAAACACAGCCTTCCGATTGGTTGTTTCTCACGACAAATCTTGGGAACGTAAATATTGACGTAAATTACTGTCTACCAATTTGGCTAGTAGACAGCTCTCACCACATTACCACTGGCATCACTTATTTCTGATGCTTCTTCCTTTTTCAGTTTTTTTGTTAACTACTGTTCATTATCGTTGAGCAGCTTCAACTCCTTGGCATTTTTGAAACTCATCGGAATTATTCTGCTTAATACGATGAGTTTGGATGAAACTGTAGAATTCCACTAACATTTACCAAGTTATGGTTACAAGTAATCAACAGTCTTCACTAGTTTTTCTACAGTTGACGGGATACTCTGCTAGACTTCTTCATGATGAGTATTTTCTTCAAACTTAGATAAGAATTTAGTTATATTCTGCATAAATATAAACCAACTTATGTACTCATCAAGATGCCAAACATGTAAAAGCTTCATAGCAGCTTGTTCCATTTCTCGTAAACAAGAACGTAGGATAATCCAAAGTTGGAGTTTCTTAGACCAAGAGATAATATTCCACCAGTCCTTTCTACCGATAAAGTATGATGATATCTGTCCATTGCTGGCTTACATAGGCATCCAGTAAGTCAGACAGTGCTTCTCCTTATCTTTGAAGTTACCGCTGACCAGGAACTGCCGGTTATCTGAACAGGATTGTAAGGGATGATCACCACAATCGGTTCCATAAATACATCCCGAATAGTTTTTCAAAGTGTTCGTATTCCCTATCTTAGGATTAAAATCATGTACTCATATGGTACAATTCCATTTGCTAATACGACTACATCTATGTATTTTGTTTTCATTACCAAATCGGACAGTTTATGACAAAGTTCATTCTTTATTTCTTCATCATTGCTCTCAGGAGATCCGTAATGAGTATGTTTCGAAATAGCATTGATTTTTTTTCTTATTCTTCAATTGAACTGCACACAGATTCTTACCCACCTTAGTGCTACCCCTACAACCCAACTAAGAACATGAAAAGTTGTCATAAAATCAACTAACACTTGTAAAATAAATTTTGCAGATCTCCCGCGTTAACCAGATGGTATAGAGT